GCTGAACCAGCAACACTTGGAGTGGAGATTCCACAATATGAATAAAATAACATAATTGTCCAGTTTTCATTAATACCATCATGGGAGAATATTATTTTTAAATTTATTAAAGATATTTTCAATAAAATTCTCTTGATTTATAACTCGTACCCACTTTTCTTGCTCTTCCGGACACTTTAGGCTGCCTAGTATAATAACTATCCTTAGTAACTATCCTTTCCACCAGGAACACAACAAAGATGAGGCATAGCACCAAAAACACACTCCACTTAAGCTTTATTGATGAATTGTTAGAGTCTTAAAAAACACACACAAAAATCACGATAAGTAAAAAATGTATGGGCACTTTTAGGTTAAATCACTTACACAACGTGTAATTTTTAAAATTTCTATTTTTTTATGCGAAACCGAGAGTGACCATATATCTGGTAGTAGTTTATGTCACTTCAACACCAAAATAATTAGTTTTTTGCACTACAATAATAAATAATACCAAAAATCAAAGAGTTAAAACCAAAAACCAACCGACAAAATATGAAACGGAATCTAACCCAATATCTAAGTATGTACAGCTGATGAAGTAAACAAAAGTCCGCCCGTAGGCTGATCTTTTAATAGAAGGCACTGTGTCAAAATTTGAAAATAATTTTTCAAATGTCAAGCTCGATGATTTGACATAACTTTTGGGGTTATGTCCTAAAGGTCTTTTTTTATTAGTGGCAATTGAACAATATGGATATTTTTGTGAATGGTGCATGACGTCACAGGTGGTATGCGCAAACTTAACGAAATTGGAGCCGCTATCGATCATACCTTGTTTTCTTTGTACCATGACTATATAGCGATAAGGATAGTTCGATTCCTAATTCCTATCTTCCTGCACTGTCAGTTTTTTTACATCATCTAGGGACCGAGTTGAAGTTGGCGCTAAAGATTTTAAACAGTGACAGTTATTTTTGCGTTTGACGCACGAGCGCACAGTGCGGTGGGAGATAAATTTAGCGGGACAAAACCGTTTGGTTAGAAATAAGCCAAAAAATGTGTACTGATAAGAATAAATAGTAGACATTCCAATTGATATAAAAATGCATGAATATTCTTTGTATTTCGATACATTTTTATCAACCAAATTTGGTCGTTTTCTGCTCAGCAAGGCAGAGATCATACGAAAATTAATTATTTACAAGTGCTTATACATTTTATTCCAAAGCCAAATTATGTTGAAGATTACTTATATTATTTGTTAAAATCCTTCGTGCCTTTGTTCTGCAGATATTAAACTTTCAATTTTTTTCAAATATCGATATATTGAATGATGCAGATCTTTTGAGTTACCAATAGTTACCAACACAGGTAGCACATCACAGGAAGTTCAAGCTTACCAGGTGAATGCCCAAAAGTTTCATTTCAATCGGATAGTATAAAAACAAAACAAAGACAAAGACTCGTTAAAGGGTTAATTGAAGAGCATTCAAAAGAAGAATTTGGTTTGGAAGTACTATGAGCTTTAGGGCTAGTGGGAGCAGGGGCGGCTCGTAGCAATGGAAGATGGTGAGGCACATTAGAAGAGAATTTTTATTAGTATGTATATAGGGTGGCCATTAGTACGAGGTAGTTCTATATAAAAAAAAGTACATATCCTAAAAAAATATTTTCTTTAAAATTGCAATCGCATTACCATTTTTCTGTACAGAATTGGGTTCAGCATAAAATTCAGCATACATTACACTATTGATTTATTTGAAGCACTATATATGCGGGATTTCCATGATAATTCATATTTGAAAAATTTTATCTTTTAAAAAGTGATAAAAACCTGGAGTGAATTTAACTTATTGATATATTATTGCTTAAGTACGTATAATATAGCGAGGTATAGAGGATAAAAGAAGAAATCCGAGAAAAATTCACATTCACAGGGATTTTTTTATGGCGCGGCCAACATTGCAATATTATAATGCTATATCTCAGTTTTTTTAAATGCAATACACACTGTATATTATTTTTAGTATTTTAGATACCTACAGACTTAAAAAGCGCACATTTTTGTATTTAAAATATTTCTAAATTTTTAGCAGTTGCGGAAATAGCCTTATGTAATATAATTCACAGTATTATACCGTATGATCAAAAAAAAACGGCGTCCAGTTGGCTGGGAAATGACGATCGATGACAGTTCCCATATAAATTTACATATAAAATGACTGCGATCTTCATTTCATAGCCAACGCTGACGCCGTTTTTTCTCGATCATACGGTACCTATTACATAGGGCTATTGCAACAGTAAATTTTTATCAAAGCGACCTCAGGATATTTTCTCTTATATTTTACTCTGTATGGTAAAATTTTGTTTTTCTACCCATTCTATAAAAATAAAACAAAACGAAATCTGTAACAGGTCGCTTTACTTTTTGACTATACACAATTTATTTAGAAATGATTCGAAAAACTTGACCTGGGGAAGTCCTCTGATGATGCATGGTCCCTCTAAATCATCATATCAATCAACAATAAGTCACTGCCCACTTTTTAGGTATTTACTTAATATGAACAATTCACATTAAAAAACGTGGACAAAACAGTGTAATAACCGGCAGAATTAATTCAAACTCTGATTCAAACTAAGCCAAATTCCCAAATAATGCAATTCTGCATTTTCAGCCTGTCGCCTAATATCTCTCGAGCTGATCGGGAACTGATCGGGAAGTGATACATATTTTTAACGAACGGCTTTTAAGGTTCAAATTTACATTTGAGGCTCGCCTCAATACAGTCTTTTTACGCGCTACTACTACATACATTTTATCTCTCTTCAACTAAAGGTTTTGCCTATGCTTTCTCTTTTCATTCTACAGAGTTAAGATTCCACTGAACGCTGTCGCTCCGTCAGTGCGATATACCACAATACTCTAGACAAGGAAAGGCGACAGGCAAACCTCTGCACATATACTTCTTAAAGAACAAATGAGATGAATATACATCGTCGAGTTTGTCGCATATGGGAAAGGAAGCGCGTTAAAGGAATACCATCGACGTAATTTATTGTAGAATGACGGTTAAAAAATACAATTATTAATGATGCAAATAGGGAAAAAAATATAAAATTGTGATTAAAGATGTATCGATTAATGCGTGTAATTTTTCAAATGTATTGGTGAGGCACTGCCTCATCTGCCTCATAGGACAAGCCGCCCCTGAGTGGGAGTAAGGATGCTGCTATAATTGTTGAAACCTTAACTCCATCGAAAAGCACTGAGTTTAAAAAAATTAATAGCGCCTATACACGGAAAGGCCCGGCCTTCGGACTTGGTCTTGGGGCCGGGGCTTTCACCCAAATTACCATAGCGGAAATATATCCGCGGACTTTGCCTTTCATGCAAACCTATGGTATTTTGGGTTAAAGGCCCGGACCCAAGGCCAAGGCCAAAGGCAGGGCCTTTCCGTGTATGGGCAGCTAATGAATGACACCAATAGTCAGTTCGGCAATTTTCCTCAAGACAAAAACATCCAAATGATATTCTAGTTAAATAAAGCATGACGATATGCTAAAGTCTCTTTTTACTTTCTGATAATTTATAGTAAAACTAAATGATTATTACCAGTTTTTATAAAAGTTTAAAAAATTGTCTTAGATACTTAGGTACCATATCTGAATTTACAATTACCGAGTGTTAAAATTAAAATATCTATCTTATTTATTATTTTCAAAATAAAATATACAGGGTGTCACAAGATTACAAAGTAATTAAAAAATAACTGCTAAAGAGTTTTTTGTAAGTATTTCACCTGATCATAATTTTATGTATTTGGCAATAGTTTATACAGTACGGTTTTTGTGTGTCATGTACGAATAATATCATAGTCTTATTATCTTGTATTTATTTATTTATTAATAAATAAATTTAACCATATGATTGCTATACATATATTAGACCATTTGCTACGTTCTTAGATTTTAAGTCCCAAATATCGCTCCTGAGATTTTGTCCCGCTAGAATAACTATCCGCCGCACTGTGGAGCGTTGGTCCCTGCGTGACGTAAGCATCCACGGCCACTACGACAGCGGCGATTTTACGTGATCGAACAGTCCTCTTGAACCGTACCGTAGTTTCTAACATTGCGATTTTTTTAACCATCCCTGTTCAAGCCAATTTTATCTACGTCATTCTGTGGTGTGCAATTTTAAAGAAAAAACGTGTAAATAATCTATTAAAAAATCGTTTCTTATACCAATCGTTTCTAATGGCAAGAAAACTGCGTAAATTCCTGTGTTAGCAGGTAGGAAACAAAAATTTAACATTTCCAAACATTACCAAAGACATTAGCAAAAAATAATTTTTTACACATCCTTTATTTCCAAACCTTCCATCCTTCTTCCACGAAGGCAAATATATTTGCACAAAGGACTTCCATAAAAAAATTATTCCACATAATAAACTTAAACATCGAGTTAGGAATATATTTATATTTTTACGTATTTTTACATTTTGTGTCCTATATCTCTACATTTTGTACATGTATTTGTGAGGTTCAAGTTAACGTCTCCTTTCTGCTGCAATGGCTAAACTGGACGGGACCTACTTTGTTTACGCGGAATCCGAACCGCGGTCCTCGGCCATATCATGGTCAATGGCCTACCGACTTAGGAAGTGTCTAAATTAACTCTTACTCACGAGATATCCGATCTCATCCGGCCTCGAACCGGCGTGAATGAGCAGTGTGTATCAATAGATTTTACACTTTTCCCTTGGACAACAGCACGATGCAAAGTTTCGAACCGGTCACCCGTCCATCAACTAGCATCGCCTTACGTCGCTTAACTTCGGTGTTCTAATGGGAACCGGTGTTTCGACGTAGCTGGGCCGTTGCCCGTACATGTATTTAACACCGATACGTAAAAAAGTGAAAGGACGTGCAAACACCCATCCCTGCATATGCTATTCTATCTGCGCCAAACAGTCTTCTAAAAGAAGATTCCTAAACATAACCTCCATAATTTTTATTTTTAATTTGATTGACAAACAATAAAGTGTTTTGTGATTTTCCTAGTGTTAAATTGATTATGCTTTTGCTAATATGAGAAAGTTAATGCGAAGGTGAATTAATTGCAAATACAAGGAAGAAACGTAATTTATATTGCGACTTGCATATTTAATTATGTGAGTAATAAAGTTGTTTAAAGAATAGAGTAGAATCGCAGCAAAATAATTATTTATAAATGGTTCGACGATAGTTGAAGTACAAATGAGAATTAAAAATTTCATAATAACATTATGCGTTATTATAAGTGTAAGTTTAGGTTTTATTATTTTTGGGCAAAATAAGCCTCATCAAACAATTCAGACGATTGTTTCCACCACCAATGAACAAATTCAAAATTTTAAGGTGAGTCATTAACAGTCTGCATTTTTTATTTATATATTTTACTATAATGATTTTATTATACAGGATAATTTTCGCGAAGCGGACAAGAATGCATTGCTAACAGATCAAAAATTATTAGATATTTTGGGTTTTCCTGAGAAGAATCCTAGACTGTATCCTGATGATGTATGGAAAAATTCGTCATTGCCTGTTATTGTAACATATATTTTAGAAGGACAAGAAAGTCAGGCTGTTGGACTTATTAACAATGTGGCAAGGATTTTACCAAATAATACAATTATAGTTTATAACTTGGGACTCTCCCAATATGGTTTAAAAATTGTAAGTTGCTTGCAAGAATATTAAACTTGAAAAAAATAATATATGTAATTGATAGTTAAAAAACTAAATGTATAAGGTTTGTTGATTTGCTTTAGAGTTATCTTTTTTGATACCAATTAAACTTTTAGTTACGTTAAAATTGTTGCCAACCATGGACATATTCCTAAAACATTTTGATTAAAAGAAAATTTGTAAAAGTGGGCAATGCTGTGCCGGTCAAGCTTAATCACGTGACTAAAAGTTTATTTGATATCAACTACCTATAGGTACTTAATTTACATAGGCAGAATATCTAAGAATATCTTTGAATAAGAAGACTAAGGAAGGAGCATATCAAAAATCTTAGGTACACCGCGATGGGCCTCAAATATGGCCGACTTAAATTCCGGTTTATCAGTGTCATTCTAATTTTATTTAAAAAATGTAAAACTATGATGTAGGGTAGACGTGGGGTAGACTCAATAATTTTTTGTTTTATTTTACGTTGTGAATAAATGTTGGTAGTTATTAAAATTGTTATAAAAATATATAATTCTAATAAAAATAGATAAGTTATAATAAGTATTTATTAACACAAACATCCGATACGCTACTGAAGCAGGTAAGTCAAATTAGCGTATCTAAATTCTTTGACATCTAATCTTTGACAAGTAATAAATAAAAGCTAAAATGCAAGAAAAATATATAATTTAGTTAATTTAAGTGAATTTCATAAATGATCGGTTTACTACACGTATGTATATTATATAGTCACTTACTAGCGAAAAGTTGTTCCATTATTTCACTCAATTTTTGCCGAGATCTACCGCACGCTACACAACCAACTATTTTAGAGTCTTTTCGATAAATCGCGATAGTGTCACTGTTAATTTAAGTTCTGCCACAATTTCCATCTAGATTTACTACCTTTATACAACTATCAGTAGTAGAATGAATAATAAATAACATAAAATAAGCTCCGTAAAGACTGACAAATCCACAAAATTTCAAATCAAATTCAAATGTGCCAAATGAATCGTCAAACAGAACTGTCAAGGATCGCCACCCTAGAGTGCTTTTTCCGCCCACCATGCATGAATACATGGATAGCATTATGCTCCTTCCTTTTGTCTTCTTATTCAAAGAAGAATATAGATAAAATAATTATTTTAGTGTGAATCTGTGGTCTATGATCACATATAACTTCAGATAGAGGGGTAAACCGCTGGTGTATTTTGGTGTACAAGATGTTGGCATTACTTGGTATTATTCGTGGTATTAGTTGGCATTTTTGGTATTAGTGTAGGGGAAGTGGGGGATACTTGATCACTGTTTTATATTTCCATGTAAAAATACAATAATTTTTTTTTAAATGATTGAACAAAGGCTAACATACAACTCTACCAACAGTTATCTAAATATTTTTGCAAATTTAAAACCATTTGAATGTTCTTAAGTAAAAAAATGTGTTTTTCTGTTGCCAATCAATCTGTTGCATATTTATCAAGTATCCCCACGATGTGGGATACTTGATCACTTATTAAACAACTACTAAAAACTACTTAAAATGCAAAAATCAATAAATTAAGTACAACTTAGCGAGAACAAAACTACTTAGAAAGAAAAACAGGAAAATAATTATAGTTAACTTTATTTATTTATTCAAAATTGTATATATAACCAGAGTACGTAGATCGCCGAGTAGCGACAGAAACCGTCGGCTCTTTTGATGTGGTGGGACCAAATTTTCTTTCTCTTTTGACGTGTTGGACAGATAGACTACGTATTTAACTGCTCAACTTATGAAGTGGTCCTATAAACATGGTATACACTGCTCACAATTTGAAGTGGAATTAATTATAAAGTTTTATACATATCTTTTTTGTTTTGTTTTATCCTTATTTCTAAATTTGAATGTATAAAATATCTTACTGGTAATAAATAATTAAAAAAACGATTCTTTACCTGAGGTATACTTGAAATAAAGTATATAGTGATATTTGATAAATGGCCACAGTGGCAACTTCGCTTTTTTGTATGACAGATAACCTACTTATTTCGCGCATCCGCAAAGAAAATTGAAAACGGGACTGTCGCTACTCGTCGGTTTAGGTACTCTGATATAACTTTCAAAAAATTAAGCCTTCTCAAATATATCTAAAGGTTTGTGAAATGTGTAATAGACTCGTTCTTCTTTTAAAATAATATTTGGATCCAGAGTTATTCCCATAATATCTTCAAACTTCACATCGCTAGTATCTGATTCGACCAGTGAAAATATTTTTTTTTGCTTTTGTCTGTGCATTTTAATAACGTCACTCTGTATTCACCATCGTCATGATCAACAGAATTTACCACACATTAATATTTGTACATAGATAATAGCCTTCTTCCTTCTTTAAAAACTACAATTACAAATTTTCCGAGCTTTAAATTGTGAACACTGATGGGCGTTAGTTCTTGATGTCTTGATAGTTCTTGTGTCTTCTTGATTTTGCGCCTTCTTTTCGCTTATAGGTAAATCCTCGGCATCTAAAAGAGAAAATCGAATTGACCAGATTACTGCAAATTAGACTCTTGCCTGCGAATTTTAAAAACCAATAATAGGGGATACATGATCAGTATGATCAAATATCCCATGTTGTGATCATGTATCCCTACATCAATCAAGTATTCCAATAAAACGTATTTCAAATAACCATAAATTTTAACTTACTGTTTAAATGTAGAACAACCTCAGTATATATTCCAGAAACACCAACTATTTTACAATTTAAAAAACTAAAATATGTTCAGTAATACAGAAAATATAACAAAAAACCTAGGAGCACATTTATTTACTTTACTGCGTGGAAAACACGTTACGAACTGGGCCGCGTCCAAACATGAAACTAGCGGGTATTGCAAGAGCTCCACACGGTTTCCGGATTGCGACTTATTGCCCTGGAAGTGATAAATCTCTAAAAAGGATTAAATTTTTGAATAAAATGAATATGATCAAGTATCCCCACTTTCCCTACAGAAATATGTCAGCGGTTTGCCCCTTGCTTCAGATAAAAATTACATATTTAATATGACAATCTGAATATGACAATAATATAAATTTTATATTATTGTAGCTTCAAAATTACTGTAATAGTTCAAAATGTCAAGTTATTCCATTAGACATTTATGATTTTCCATCACATATACAAGAAGACATTCTACACGCATTTAGGCCTATAGTTATTCAGGTGAGTGTGATAATGAGTTAAAAATTTAAAGGTTTTTATAATGGATATTGATTCTGTCAGGATGCTTTAAGTCGCACCGGTGCAATTTTATTTATGGAATCTAACTACAGATTTTTACCTAATATAACACACACTATGATTACTGATCTTTATGAGAACAATGCTTTAAAGAAGGGAGTCTTGGCGTTTCCTCTTCAAACCAGGCATCCAGTAACTAGTTTAACCCACAAGAAAATGTTTCAGTATTTTAGGACAGACTCTGAAAATTTTCAGTTTCTACAAATGGTTTGTAAACATACAAAAAGCTTGGCTGAAACCAAAGATTCATGTTTTTTTTTTGTTTGATCTATAGGTTAAAGCTGATGTTCTGTTTTTTGTTAATACAAAGGATATACATCAAGAAGTCATGTTACCTTGGATACAATGTACTTTAACGCATGATTGTATATTTCCTATAGGTGCTCAGGCAGCAGGATGTAAATTTGATAAGAAACCCTCTTATCGGTAAATATTATGTGGTATTGTTGATTGAAAGAATTGGAAAGATACGAAACCTAATGGGCGAATTTGTGACAAGGTTGATTTGATTTCCCCTTATGTCTTAAGTGATGTACAGTGGAGACACCAGTCGTTCTGCGGTCAGCGCATAAAACACTTATTTTCCCTAATTCGGCCATATTGAAGACAGTGTGCATCTGAAAGCTACAGTGTTGCCATATTAAAATGTTTAGTATCTGCAATACATTTGACGAAAACATCTTTGGATTAAAAATCCGCGTTTATGTATTGAAAATTTATTCGTGTTAAACATAGAATAAACAACAAATATAAAAATTCTTTTATAGGTACTGAATATGTTGTACAGTCGAAAAAAGTCGTTTAGTTGGCTTGGAAATGACGATTATTGACATTTACCATAATATTTGAGATATGAAATAACAGCGATCCTCATTTCCAAGCCAGCTCTGACGCTGTTCTCTGTTTAATCATATAATAGTATATTAAATTGTTTAATGATAGAAAATCCGTATTATTAACGTGCTGTACCTAAAATCCGTAAATCTATGATTAATCAGTAGTTCTGACAACACTGTCTCCGAAAATCCGTATTATTAACGTACTGTACATAAAATCCGTAAATCTATTGATTAATCAGTAGTTCTGGCAACACTGTCTCCGGTAACCACTCACTCTGTCGACTGAAAGTAGAACTATGGTACAGTATTCTTTATCTGCTGCGCTGCAAACAATGACTAAAGAATCCAAGGACATATATAGTCTATCAAACACTGACAAGATCCTTGACAGTGATAGTTGTGTCTGTTATTGTAATTTCAAAGTAGTTTATTTTATTTTACAAAGAAATAAGTTGGTACAACTGGAACGCATAGCAGGAAATTAATATATTTAAAATTTGACTGATAAGATAAGTGATTACTTCAAAATATTCTGAAAAAAAACTGTATAAGACTGAAAAAATGTAATTGAGTTATTTTATTTACGGTATTTGTAAATACAAAACAAACAAGAACAAAACACCACATAACAAAAAAATATAAAAAAGAACTATTTCTTACTTTCAAACTTCAAGAAGCAGGCATTTATTATTATATTTATCAATATAACTTATATAGAAATACAATTTTTTAATATTCCACAGGAATAAAGAAAATAACATAAATAAAACAATCTATTTTATTAATAATAACACTTACCAATTTTAATACCTTAAAGGTTGATTAATTAACTTTAATCTTAATTTTTTTAAACCAGACTTTTTTTTGACATTATTTTTCTGCAGTACTAAATCCAAGACTAAAATCCATTATTTACCTATCGTGTGATGTCGATATTTTACAGCTACTCCAGTTTTTAGTATATTTTTAGTACGATCCTTGTACCATACTTATAAGAGATGCACTTATCTACGACGAGATGGTATACAAACTTTATTGATGGTAACTTTATTGGTGTATAAGACTTTCTGCCTGGGCAGCAAGTATTAACTATAAACTGTGCTTCTGGTCTACAGTTAATTTTTCCTCGATTTTTCCCCCACTTAACTTCAAAAGACACAAAACACACGTAATAACGCGAATCAAAATGCAGCATCTTCCAAAACGCAGATATTTGACACAAGTTGACACAAAATTATCTGTTATAACCTATAATTTGGCAAGACTTTGACAAGCCTCAAAAATCTAAAGGCGAGTTCATACGCATCGGTGTCCGTTTGTCGTTCATCGTTCCGTCGAACCAATAAAATTGAAATATGATATATCATACAGATACAGATACAGATCATATTTCATATTTTCTTTTGAATTAAACCAATAAAACTCGTTAAAAACAACAAGAGACGACGCATGACGGATTTATATTTAAACCCATCCATAGTTAACTTAAAAGAATATTAGAAACTTTTTTTAGTAAAATAAATAGGTTGGTAAGGGATGTCATCTGCTTTTCTTCTGTCATCGTCTGTGGAAATCTTACCTGAGAAAAAAAACAGAGTATAACACCCGAGACCAAATTGTTACCAAGGCTCCAAACAGTGCCGTGGCCATATATTTTTCATAACTTAGCTGCTTGAAGGGATATTTATATTTTTGATAGATGTTTTGACTACGCCTATGGTGTAGGCGGTGGTATCATACGAATTAATTACGAAAGAAACGTATTAAAATGTTAACAAAAGGTACAAAATTAGTATCGACGATTAGCTCATATCAAGTACATATAGTATCAGAAAAATAATTACCAAATTCAATAAGAAAACGCTAAAAAGGTGGAGTGGACTGTTTATTTACTTATGAAACGCAACTCCTGGCTCTTTCTTATCATTGCGGCTTTTACACTTAAAAGCTGAACACATCACCATTGTAATAAAGTTTAAACAAAGTTCACTACACACAACAAATTATTAAAAATCGCTAAAATTGTCGCTGTTGACGAGGTGGTGACTCATCCGTAGGCTTCAATATGATGGCGTCTAAAGGACGGTCCACACTTGCTATATAGCAAAGTTATATAACATGTTACATATTTTTTAGTTATATTTAGCAAATTTCGATGCTATATAACTTGCTAGATGTTATCCATTTGTAGCCGGTAAACACTTGCTAAATTTCTAATTTAGCCGCTCATATTTTCAGGGACGTGCGCCACAGAATCTTAGTGTGGTAAGCTGATATTGGTTTGTTTATTTACTGGTCAATAATACCGTATGATCGAAAAAAAAACTGCGTCCCGTCGGCCTCCCATCCAGTTGGCTTGAACATGACGATCGATGACATTCCCCATATAATTTTCCATATAAAATGACAGCGATCTTCATTTCATAATATGTATTTGGAAAGAAAAAAAGTTGATTAAAAAAATGCGATATCTAATAGGCCAGTTCCAGAGGGCACAAAAGAAATGCAAATCAGGTAGTGCATGGTTTAGATGAAGTGGATAATTCAAAATGGTTTGCTTTTGCTTTTAAGTTATTATAATGTTTTTAGAAGACAGAAACACATCACGAGAAACAGCCGAGGCAAGTATTGAAAAGATAAGCTAATTGAGTTCAACTGTATCTAGATCTTGCTGGTAGGCTATGGCGGACTCAAAACCGCTTTTTTCTCGACTTTCATTCTCTTTGTTCAAAAATAATTACGCACGCCGCTGCTGCGAGCTGAACCTCTTTCTCGCCAAAACGATTCATGACTACAAAAACTATAATGTCCCCCGATTTTATAACATGTTACATGTAGCTTGTTAAATGGCAATGTTATATAACATGTTACTAAATGTGGACCCTACTTAACGTAACAAATTCTGCTGCAGCCCGTATATGGGCGTTACATGCAGGGTTCGGAAAACTACATGTTACTTTTAAAAACTACATAAACTACATTACATGTAGTTAATGTAGTTTATGTAGAGGGTGTAGTTTATGTAACCCCTATGTAACCTATGTATGTAACTTTCAAATATCAAAGATTTAAGGTGAGGTTATAATAAGTTGAAGCTTTAAAAACACATAATGTATTTAAGAAAACAGAAAAAATATGGCTTTAAATATAATATTTACATCATATTATCTCTATTACACCTCATACAAATGAAAATTATTCATAATATCAATACATAGTTTATTAACGTAGTTTTCATGTAGTTAATGAACGAGAAAAGACGTAGTTTTTGAGGAAAACCACAAGTAGTTAATCAGGTAAATTACGTCTTAATTAACTACTTCCGAACCCTGGTTACATGTCCTTGTATTCTTTAGTCATTGGCTGCAAACAACTACCAGCGCGCAGCGGCGCAGAGCTAAACTAAATCACGGAATTCTCGGACAGGCTGACGGTAACGCCAGCTGCATCTCGGACACGTTTTCTGCCACGAAATCGTCCACAAGGTTGCGCATTTTTTTATTTCTTCAATCAACGGTAGTATATTTTATGTTATGCAATAATGTATATTTTTGATATTTTTTAGGTATTCGGGTTGCCATAGTTACGATGCTTCAGCTTTAAATATAATCTTAGGACTTCATTTTAAATTTATAAGCAATGAGTATACTTTTAACAAGCCAGTAAGTCTTTTCTATCAAGTTCTTCTAAGGAAGGCAGATGCACTTTTAAAAGAGCTAGAGCAAAATGCCACTACTGACGGACAGTTATCTGTAGTTAGTTAAAATATGATAAATAACCAAAAATACATTGTGTGATAATTAGTCGTTAAATAAGCATTATACTATTAAGGATTACCTACATTTAAAAATTACAATATAACTAAATAGTTATATGGAGTTTTAGTGATATACAACTTAGCTAGATTAGAAGCGTAGATTTAGATTATCAAAACGCAAAATTTCTACTGATGACATTATTTTTTTCTCTACACTTTATTTTAAAAATATTTATTGTCACGTTTAACAAAATTATACAGTTCTTCAATACAAAATGGTTTTTTGACTGAATCCTAAAAATGGGGCTAAAATATTGCATTATTTTTTCACATCTTCCTTAGTGACGAACAAAACTGGCCTTGGTCTTGGGGAAAAAGCAAGTCAAAGACTACCCTTAGAGCAGGACTCAGAACCCGCATGGCATACTCTTGTGATCTAGCATTTTTTCACATCTGTTATTTACATCTCATTTTTCACAGCTTAAGCTTCATTAGAACCTCGCAATTAGTGGAATAAATTAGTGCTTTCATTACACTTTATACTTTTTAGTTTACGTTCATTCACAATATTTAAAAAACACAATTAAAATTAATAAAATATCCTAGCAACAGCTTGCGTTGTCAGTTGTATCCATAGAGAAAGCCTAATATGTACCTTATAAAACAATCAACTTTTGATTTCTAACCACAATTTCTCTTGACGGAAGATAATCAAAGCCATAATGACATTTCTCGCAAATTTTGAAGTATAATTAGTGGAAAAGTTAAAAGTTTGATAACTTTTTCTACTAATTGAAAATGTCTACCACTAATTTTAACATTCTGAATGCTCACATTGAAATTAAAGGAACAAACTTCTACGCTAATTAAAACCACTGATTTATTCCACTAATTGCGAGGTTCTGAATGAAGCTTAAGAGTCCATTTCACTAGTCCGAAAAAGTAGCAAAATAAGCGTTCGTTATTTAACGTTTTATGTAAAACTAGCTAGGTATTTTTACACAAATGAAGACGGAAATTAAAGATAAAATATTATACTATTTATATCCGTATTATAGCACATTTTTAGACAACTTCTTTATTTTTAAGATTTTGATGGTCAAACATCAAAAAAATATTCATTATGTTTGGACTAAATTTTCTCGCAAATAAAGACATAATTTAAAATTCCGTTACAGAAATAGATTGAAGTTTTGTGATTACAGTGATATATAATTTATATCGTTTTGTAACAAATTGTTATTTTTTGTATTTTATGGCAAATGCTGAAGCTCTGCAAACCTTAATCGGTTTAATCAAGCCTTAATCAAGGCACGTGTGTTTAGAATTTTGGGTGTGGCTTAACACGACAGGAACGGGCTAAGATTTTTGAAATATAGTATAATGTTCTAAGTGCCAAAAAATCGGTTTGTCACCGATAAGTTCGATATTTTGAATTATCCACTTCATCTAAACCATGCACTACCTGATTTGCATTTCTTTTGTGCCCTCTGGAACTGGCCTATTAGATATCGCATTTTTTTAATCAACTTTTTTTCTTTCCAAATACATATTATGAAATGAAGATCGCTGTCATTTTATATGGAGACACCGCCCGTTCTTATACATTGGTTATATAACCAAAAATGTTTATCTCGAAATAATGATTTTGGCACTTAGCACATTATTTATTTCAAGTCTTCATTTGTACTAATTTAAGACTCACCCTGTATATATATCCATATATTTACAACAGTCTTACATTACAGTGTCGATTAGAAAAGAAAGTACATTAGTTGGAAAATGACAAATTGAACCTAATGAACAAATTAAATACAAATTCACAGAAAGATATGACACAGTCCAATACCGTCACATATTAGCACAGATATTATTTTGACATTTTATTTTGGCTAGTTTATACCTTAAACCTAGGGCAGACCTGACGAATGTTACCATTCGTTCGCATTCGCCAGGAATTGTTTCTAAGAACATAGTGCGACTAGGATAGCGGCGAGCAAGCAGCGCGATACCGCGTCGAGCAAGCCTCGAGCTGTTGAAACAGTAGAGCGGCGAGGAATAGCGAGATACTTGTGCAAATTTATTATTTTCATTGGCTTATTGATAATTTAAAATGTTAAGAGTGGCTAAAATTCTAGGCAGTAATGTCGCAAACACTTGGTTAGATGAAGTTTTTAAAAACCCGAGAAAGTATGGCAAGTTTTATAACCTTTACGAAAATTTGTTGCCACTTCATCTCATAACTTATCTAAAATGTACCGGTTATGGTGATTACTATCTTTCTGATCCCATTTAAAATCTCTCTTACAAATAATAAATCTTAATAGAGAATCTATCATTTTCTACAGCGCGACAGAGCGATGAAAACAAAATTATTTGAATCGAGCTCGAGCAGATCGCTTTACTATGTTCGCACGTACTTGTCTTAACAGGTTTGTTTTGGCCGCGATGTCGCGCTGCTTGCTCACATCTATCCTCGCCGCTCCACTATGCTCTTAGCCTAAGATGTCACGACGAATGGTTTCAGCGCGAACGAATGCTATCCATCTTCTGGCGGTAAAAGTGAATTAAAGAAAAATGCGAGCAGCGAATGATTGGAAAAGTTGCAGTTTCAACGTATCGGTAAAAATTCAGGAAGTGGAAAAAGTTCGAATAGTGGAAATGTTAGTGAAAGAAGACAATTCGTTCAAATGTGTCATGCCACTCGTTGCAAGCAGGTAGTAATAATTGTGCGAATATCTACGAAACCAAGCGAAACATTCGTCAGGTTTGGCATCGGTTTTAAACGAAAAAGAATTAATTATTCCTTCCTCTTATACAGATAGCATCGATTAAACCCTCTTGATTCATATGTGGACGTTTGTCCATAGGTAGGATGTTTGTTTGATAATTGCTGATTAACAAGTTTTAGCATGTCTTCAATGTGGTTTCTTTCGTAATTTGATCGGAATACTTCACAAATACTCTGTATGTACCACGAACCCATTAATGGATCGCGATTAGAGAGATATCCTGTTAAATTATTATAATATTAATATGTCATTAAATTAGATCAAATGTGTTACCTGGTAGCGTGGAATGTGCTATGAGAATGTCAGAATGTTGTTGCGTCCTCGAAATAGGCACAGCGTCCCTGTGAATTTCCGTTACGTCCCCCCTGTAAGCATGTTTATTCAATTATAAGTATGTACATTTTTTAAAAAATATACCTGCAACATTGGAAGATAAATATTTTTGGTTTTCCTTTTAAACCATCGGTACTGTTAACAAACTTTTCAATGATTTCTTCACTGGCTACACACTTATTATCAATTCCACTAATTTCCGTGTAGCCACCTCGTACCGCTTGACCAGTTAAACTACTTACGTTTGTTCCGTGGCTCATTATAGTAACAATAATTATATCATCATTTTTAAAATTAGATTTGCTAAATTTACTAACTTCCTTAATAATCTCCTTAAAATAATATCATGTTAAATAAAAATGGGTATCGTCAGAGAAAAAATATATAAAAACCACAGTACACACACGTTTACATCACAATGTGTGTTGTTTTAATATTTATAATGTAATCGTGTGTGTGCTGTGATTTTAATTTAGTTTTATTTGCATGAGACCAACACTTTTCTCTTTGGGTATTTTTTCTTTTTGATTTAAATATATCTGTATTTTAGATAAGGGGGCGTCCATTACTTTCGTGAGTAATTAATTAAGTTTTTGAGGATCTTTTGACTCTCCCTTCCCCACTGCACTGGTGAGATTCCGTGAGATTTGTCTAGACCCCCTCCCATCTCCCTAAATGTCACGTGAGATCTTTCAAAACTTATATTTTAAGTATAATTCAGTTCATGGAGATCTACAGGGTGATTCACGGCCATGGCACATTAGACGTTTATGGCGAACCGGTGACAGGATTTTTTTTGAAAATTTGGATTTTTGCATAAAGGCACCTGCTCCATCTGTCTAAATTATTTTCAGCATTACAGTGTTGCCGCTTCATACAAAGATGGGAACATCTTTGTTATTTTAAATGGAACACCCGGTATATTCTTACATTTTTGAAAACTACTTTGATATCTCATAATTTTTATATTGTACTAATCTATACCTATTTCTGATAGTTTTCGAGATAAAAAATAAACCATGTGTAAAATTGACAAAAACATGATCTTGAATAAACATTGGTTAAATAATAAATTCGGCATATAGGAAGCTGAAATTTGGTTTATAGGTTAAGGACAGTCGGCATATCCGATCTATCTAAATCAACTGATTGGATATCAAACAGGAAGGTCAGAGAAAATAATTATTTCCGTTTATTATAAAATTACTCAAATCTTTGTTATTTTAAATTAAACCCTATATGAATATTATTTAAAAAATCAAAACCCAAATTAAATTGAAGACTACACGGGAAAAACGGACTAAGTCCAAAAAAAATGGAAATTGAGATAACACTGCCATCTTATGCCTATCAAGTGTCCGTTCCAAAAGAGGAATAATGTAACACTGAATTAATTATCTAAGTCCACTAAAATCAACGATTAAAATATTAATACTTTGGAAAAGCGATCTAAGTCCACGTGAATTCACGAAAGACCGATCCAAGTCCATATTTCATGTTTGTAAATATATCAACGCATACAAGAGAGAAAAATAGCTATATATTCAGCACCACAACAACTTTATGCTGACCTAATTCCTTTGCCCAAACTCAAGTATGAGCAGTTACAATTTTTGAAAAAGTTCGTAGATGAATCTCTGCAAGACTACTACACAAATTTGCCTTGTGCGTCAAACAATGCTCATATAAACGATGCAGATATGGTGAGTTATATCAATTAAAGTATACTGCTTTTATTTCTGTCTAAGAAAAGAAGTCTGATTATGTCTATCGTGTCACTAGTTTTCAATTCAAAGAAATTAAATTCTGGAAATGTTCTAGTGGAACCATAATGGAACTGTCTAGTAGTGTAGTTTCATTTTATCAGAAACAAATCGCCATTCCTAAATAAAAAATCTAATGCTATTAATATTAATAAAAAAATAATAAAAATAGGAAACAAATAAAAAAATATTAAGAAAATATAATAACAATATTAATAATCAAAATGAGATTAAAAACATATTTTTCTCTTCATTCCAACACGAGTAATCCTCGGAGTAACCACATACAGAATTATTCCATATTGACTTGGATCACTTTTCCATTGAACCAAGCGAATACGAGTTTTATTTTATCTAACAAATTTGCTACAAATTATTTTTCTTTGTTTTGTCTGTTAATCAGTTAATGTCTATACATATAACTATTGATAAAAACTTCTTCTTACGATTCGCTACATTTTATTATTTCTTTTCCTTTAGTCTTTAAAGTTTCAAAATCATTTATCTCAAAAGTAAGAAAATGTGACTTAGATCGTTTTTCCCCTGTAGTCTTCAATTACTTTTCAATATATCATGTTCCTATACCTAAAAGGTAGAGCCATTTAAAAGTTAATAATGCTATTATAATTGTTTCGTTTAAAGAAAATCGTTGCCATGACAAATTTTCAAACTTTATACGTATCAATTAGACTTCAGTGCTAAACTTCTAAAATTGCCATGGTAACGAAATTCTTGAAATGAAACTATAATAATAGAATTATAGGGAAATTGGAACAACTTTCGTTGCACGTCATCAATGACACCATGCGTCGTCTTATGGAGTTTGCTGGTGGTCGTATTATGATGTGCAACCAAAGTTATTTTAATTTTCCTATATTAATTTTTAAATAGCTCTACTTAAGAAACCAGAAGGTTTAGGTATAGGAACATGATATATCGTTGAAAAGCAATTTTATTAGTCTTTTGATTTTTTGAATAATATTCATAGGGTTGAATTTAAAATAACAAAGATTTGAATAATTTTATAACAAACGGAAATAAATAATATTTTTGCCCTGTCTGTATAATATCCAATTGGTTTATTTAGACAGTTATATATCGACTTTCGTTAACTTCTAAGTAAAATTTCTACTTTATAAATGTTTAATTCATGATTTTACCAATGCTTATTCATGATCAGGTTTTTTTGTCAATTTTACACGTTTTATTTTTTATCTTAAAAACTATTAGAGATAGTTATAGGTTAGTATAATAGAAAAACTATGAGATATGAAAGTTTCCAAAAATGTAATAATATACTGGGTGTTCCATTTAAAACAAGAAATATGCTACCACTTTTTGAACACTGTAATGCTGAAAATATTTTAGAAGATAGAGCGGGTGCCTTTATGTAAAAATCCAAATTTTCAAAAAAAAATCCACCACTGGTTCTCCATAAACGTCTAACGTGCCATCGCCCTGAATCACCCTATACCGGGTGTTGCATCGTCGCACGGGACATAGGAAATCCCATGTAAATTTTAATGGGGTCAATTATTGGCTTCCCTAATTATTTTAGAGAATAATTCTATTTAGGTTTATTGAAGAGCACTAAAACCCACATTCAAAAGAATAACTTTAGATATTTTTTATTAGCTCGTTTACGAGTTATCGCCGATTTCTTTTTAAATATTTCTCCTTTCTTATGGCCCTGTATTTACTTATGAGCACCAGTCAAGGTAAAAGATAACTGTCAAATGAAGTTGTCATTTCAGAAATTTACCTATTTAGTGCTTTATTATTATTGAAAAATGATTGAAAACTCATTTCTTCATCGGAAATCTTAAAGATGTATTTATAAATACAAATTAATATGAATTAAAGTAAAATAAAGTAATCAATTACAAGGTTAATTATAGTATTATTACAATATTCAATAACTTATTAATTTAGGTATTATTAAATTGTTAGAACTTTAGGATTTAAGAAGATATTCAAATATTCCTCCATCGACTGCTAGACAATAACCCAGGCGATCATAAAATTCTCTTCTTACATTCGCTAGCTGGTAAACTGAAATTCTATTGCATTCGGCAGAAATCGGCATTTTTTAACTCGTCTAGGTTTGGGTATTTTTTATCCTTGTATATCCTGTTTTTTAAATGGCCCCAGAGAAAGAAATCATTTGGCGAAATATCAGGAGGCCTTGCTGGCCAATTTACTGTATGATTTAGGCCAATAACGTTTCCTTTATAACTATTGTCTAAATATTCCCGAACAGCCAGGGTACTATGTGCCGGGCAGCCATCCATTTGGTACCAAACTTCCTGATTTTCCCTAGCGGCATCATGTAAAGCAGGTAAAATATGATTTTCGAGTAGTTCCAAATAATATTCTGCATTTAAATTTCGCGTAAGAAATAATGGCCCGATAATATTGTGTCCGAATATCCCTGCCCAAACATTTACTTTCTGTGGATATTCCGTCCTTGTTTCGACAAACCTGTGTTAGTTTTCTTGGTTCCAATATCGATAATTTTGAACATTGGGTTCATTATTTAAGGTAAACGTGCATTCGTCAGAGAAACATGTTTTTTAAAAATTCCCTATCCGTGTTTGCTCTTTCCATCATATCAAAACAAAACCCCTGCCGCCGTATTTCGTCCCCATCTCGTAGCTCTTGGTGCTTTTCATATTTGAAGAGATAATATTTATGTCGTTTCAAAATTCGAAACGCTGTAGTGTGATCTATTTCATCCTCAAGTTTCCTTGTGCTGATCTTTCCATCGTTCTCTTCCACGCACAATAAAACTTCCAAGTCGATATCATTTCTTGCATCTTCTCTTTGTTCCTGCCTTACTTCACATCTGCAGTTATTTATTAGGGTACCTTTGGTCTCAAATCTCTGGATATTCCTTGCGATTGTAGATTTTCCAGGTATCGGTCTATTCGGATACAAAGCAGCAAACATGTCCGACACCTTTTGATAACTATTTCCTTGATAATACCATTTAATCATCAATACTTTTTCTTCGGTAGTGTAATTCATGGCTAATATTTTTGATGTAGGTATGAGTTTTTAATAATAATAATAATAAAGCACTAAATAGATAAATTTCTGAAATGACAACTTCATTTGACAGTTATATTTTACCTTGACTGGTGCTCATAAGTAAATACAGGGCCATAAGGAAGGAGAAATATTTCAAAAAGAAATCGGCGATAACTCGTAAACGGGCTAATCAAAAATATCTAAAGTTATTCTTTTAAATGTGGGTTTTAGTGCTCTTCAATAAACCTAAATAGAATTATTCTCTAAAATAATTAGGGAAGCCAATAATTGACCCCATTAAAATTTACATGGGATTTCCTATGTCCCGCTCGACGATGCAACACCCGGTATAGTGCGTGATTACAAAAGGAAGGCGACCGCACATTGAGACGCAGGTGACACAGGCGACGCAGGGCAGAGCAGTGCAGGTGTCTGTATTCGGTACAAATGTATAGACCCGCGCGAATTGGAACGCAGAGTAGGGTAGCACAGAAATGTGTTTGCGTAAACCTGCATAGAGCAGTCTCCCTGGCACAGTTTCCTGCGCCACGTGCATGTAATTTTTGGTTAGCTATACTTTTTTGTTGTAGTAATTTTCGAAATGGATGAACAATTAATTAAATTGGGCTCCGAAAATTCAGACTATAGCGCGTTGTCACGATTCTCCGTGACTTTGTCTCCTTTTCATATAATTGCTTTTCCAAAATGATGTTTTCCTTTTTGACATGCTGTATAATAGAACTGTTTCTTTAAATTCTGCGTCCGACTCTGACCCGGAACTGTTTGAAAACAACGCCATGATCAAAATGGCCTATGGCCAAATAATAATAATAATATTAAATAAACTCGCACCTCGCGCGCCGAAATTCTATATAAACTGCCCAAGACTGCTTTCCAATATGCTCTCACACTGCGTAACACGTATTTTTCCTGAACTGTTTTAACCTGCCTGACGCAGGTTACACAGGTGATGTAGGGCAGTCACCTGTGTAACCTGCGTCTCAATGTGCGGCCGGCTTGACTGTTGGTACCAACAAATTCATGTGATTTTCAGTAAATTCATCTGCTCCTTCACCTTTGCTCTGATTTAGCCACTCTTAAACAGTTGTTTCTTGCGTACAGAAGGTCATTAGCTCGTCTTTAGAAATTTAAACTGCGGGCCATCATTTTTCAACCATGGAATCGGGGACCACATTATAAATAACTTGACATCCTTTCATAGATTTTAATATACAGAAGAATTGACATATTTTAGACTGGAAACATGTTTTACTTTAATTTAACCTGATTTTCTCACATTTTTACACTATTTTTTGCCCCAAAACAAATTACCTGATATTTGCCGAAACCTCCTCTCTTCTCTACGTGAGATTTATATAGTGAGATTCGGCTTGACCCCCCTGTATTTCTCACGTAATTAATGGATGCCCCCTAAGCATAAGTAGAATAAATGGTAATAAATAAATAAAACTACCTGTCCTTTCAAATTTTCTTTAAGCGTGCATGTGAAACCTATAGTTGATAATAATGCTTTTAGATCATTTCCATCTTTTTTGGCTCCTTTTCTTTCTTGTTCTTTTTCCATAAATTTAATATTATTTATAATTAAAGCTTTGCCTACAAATATAAAAAATATATTAATACACCGATTTTAATATTGCAATACAAAAGTACTTAGTACTTTTGTATTACAATATTAAAAAATATACTACCTTATACAGAGTATCTAAAAAAATATTTTAAATAATTAGTAGCTTTAAACGGCAATAACTTGTTTAATTTAAAAACTCCCTATATATTTTACGAAAATCAGATCAAATCAGTACAATTTAATTGTCTATCAAATTATTGTATTATACCATTTTTACCTATCTCTTCATGTTTTTGTAGAAAATAAATTTTCTTTTAATTTAGACCTCATTTATCAATATACAATATTGACATTTTAGATTATTTTTAAAGAGGTAACAAATTTTCAAAGAGTACAGAGTACAGAAATTAATATTGTCTATATAGTTTGACTATTTCACTAAAAAATAAAAATTTCTTCTAATAGTAATTAATCAAATAAAAATACCGTATGATCGAGAAAAACGGCGTCAGCGATGGCTATGGAATGAAGATCGCTGTCATTTTATATGTAAATTTATATGGGAAATGTCATTGATGTTCATTTCCCAGCCAACTGGACTCGTTTTTTTTCGATCATATGGTACAAGCATTCGAAATACATTAACATTAATTGACTGTTTGCGTTGATTAATAATAATTGCTCCAAATACTAAAAAACTGAATTTCGTATGTGTATTAGACAGTGTGGTAAAAGTAACACCTTTTAAATTTTATTTCATTTTTTGACTAATGTTAAAATTAAAAGATAAAAAAGCTGTTTAAATATTTTTTGTTAAAGAGGACCAACTAATATGATCCCAGTATTCAAACTACATTAATTGACCGCTTACGTTGATTAATAATAGTTGCTCTAAATATTAAAAACTGAATTTTGTATGTGTATTAGACAGTGTGGTAAAAAGAACACCTTATAAATTTGATTTCATTTTTTGAATAATGCTAATTTATAACAAAAGGGACATTCGCAATTCACATTCATAACTTATTATTATATTGATTTCTGATTCAAATCCACTTTTTTATTTAGAATAATTTATTAACTAACACAATTAAATATGTAATTAATGAATATTTGGGCGGGAATAATGGTAGTATGTTTAATTGGCATACTCTTTTACAAATATTTAATTAGTTTTCTTGTTGTAGTTACCAACAAATAGGCTACCAATATTATCGTTTTTAGCACTTGTACATTTTTTATATTTGTTGCCTTAATAAAATATGTAAAATGTCAATATTCCAAGGGTATATTGATAAATGTGGTCTAAATGATAAGAAAATGCATTTTCAACGAAAAATTGAAGAGATGGTGGTTAATGAAAAATGGTACAATACAATTTGTAATAGACAATTAAATTGTGATCTGATTCACGTAAAATATACAGGGTGTTCCATTTAAATTAAGCAAGTTATTGTCGTTTAAAGCTAGAAATTATTTAATATAAATTTTTAGACACTCTATATAAGGTAGTGTAATTTTTAAAATCTCAAGAATCTAGTAAACAGAAAAACTTCAGTACAATATTTGGTTTTAAAAACTTAAATACGCCTAGAGGAATGTAGCATTAAAGTTGTTACTGCATTTTCACAATATCGTAAATTATTAATTAAAGTGCGGTAAACCTTAATAAAATTTACCTTTATTTCAAGCGTAGAAACTAAAAATGTAATAATATAAAGGGTATTTTATACAGTACTCCGTATTGTATGGGGAAAGGTATGGGGTGAATAACCCTGTATAATTATATTGAACTTAAAATACATTAAAATTTTGAAAAAAAAAACATGAAAAACAGTGTACGGAAAATTAAATCACGGATATTCTATTTTATCTATTCTTAAATGTCTATTCTAAGAAGAAATCTTTGCTGACCTTTAAGTTTTGGTCCCTGAATAGAATATGTTGGGATCTCAGACAAAGTACTTGTTTTCTGAGCAGGAAAAGTATATGACGGTCGATGTGTAGGATTGGATATGCTTCCTGAATTATAATCTGCAGTAGTGTAAGAGGGATTAAAAGCAGTTCTAGGCGAAACTGGTGTATTTCTTCTAGAATTATTGTATGAAGTATTGTATCCGTATGAAGAACCAGGGAATCTGCCAATTGAGTCATGAGAACTCTGACCCTTAAGTTCTGTACCTAGTGTGAATATAGAATATGTATTTGTGTTTGGTAATTTTATAAAATAATTTTATTTTAATTGATGGGTAAGGGGGAAAACCAAAGATGTTAATTTTATCGGAATTTTTAAGTAATCAACTTAATCTGGAGAAAATACCAAGACCCAAACACATGCTAAATAGTAGTTGAATATAACAAACGATGTCCAAATAATAACGCATACAGTAATAGCTTTTTGTAGGTACCATTAACATGATATTTAGCAACATTAAATTAGTTTTCTCTGTAAAAGTCAGTTTTGTCGTTTTGTCACATCGTCTGTTTTTCTCCTTACCCATCAATTATTGTATAATAATCCCTAAGCGCAAGTAATGTATTATATGATAAAATATATAACCAGTATTAACCTTTTGGATTCACAGCTGATGTAGACTCAAACAACCGTTGCAGGCTATTTACATTTTTTGACGGTTCCGAATTTGTTTTTTTTCCTAGAATTTAATTGATGTAGGTATATATTATAAGAAATTGGTCTACTTATATCTACATACAAGGTCTGGTCACTTCATCTGTGTGGTCTGTATTTTAATGCATGTGACAAAGATAAATATAAATGACCGGTTGACAGACAGAGAGACAAAATAAAAAGCAGCATACAGTGTTGCCGGTTTTTACGCTTGTAGGAAAATGTGTGTAGAAAAAAATTAACTATTTTAAAAACTTTCATGTATACTACTGAAATGAAGATAATATATCTAAGCTAAATATAATCTATTACAGATTACATAATTGTACTAAAATGAGTTATTAATTGTGAGAAATAAAGTTCTAACCCTAGATGCAACATTTTTCCTAAACGCCTACTTGTATGGTTTGAAATTTTGATGCAAAGTCCGGCAATACCGCATAGAAGAAATGTATCAACCCAACTTTTATCTCTTTTTAATACATTTGATTTGGTTTGGTTTGGTTTGGTCTTACACGTTAAAATCCAGACCACGCTGTTTCGATGACTAGATCGGCTATGATGTAGATCAAAATACAAAATATATATCTACTTATTACTTGATGGAAATGTCGCGTTCAAGTTAGTAGTTGTCCATCTACTTTCTCCTGAGGCTGCATTATATCTACAAGAAATAATTAGTTATTGATTTTCATTCCAACATTAGTACATTTTTAGATACAAGATATTCAATTATAATATAATTAAATAATTGATTGCACTATTAGTCTCAGACTAATAGTGCATAATATAAAATAAGTCTTCATGTAAATAAAAAAAACTGTCTTAGAGATGTTTATAAGAGAATTTAACAAGTTAAGAGATATATCTGATAGTGTCAGAATTATCAAAAACATCCTAGTTAAGCTCTTCATAGGGCAGATTACTTTCTAAAAGTTCTGTGTCATATTTGTCCTGGTTTAGAAAGAGAAAAGGTATATTTATTGCTTCTACAGCTCTAGGTTCTTAAAAACCCTAGATGTATTGGCGGTATAAACTGAAATAGTTGTTAGATATTTTACTTTTTTTGCATTAGGGTACGTTTATGTTGGAGCTGCGATAAACGATAAAAGCAGTGAATTAGCGCTGCTCTTATCGATACTCAACTGCCAACCTTGTCTCGACGCGTTGCTCCAATATAAACACCTACATATAAATTAATATAATAATATTCTTTGCTTCGCTACTACCAGTACTTTGCTTTGCTCTTATCGTTTATCGCCGCTCCAACATAAACGCACCCTTACAGGACACCAAAATTCATGAACGCCAGGTAATTGAATATTTTTAGTCTGCCTCTGCCTTATTTACCAAATGGATGTATGCTCAATATCTAAATAGAAATTCTATCTATATTTTGTGTAGGTCAGATATTTTAAAATGTAACCATTGTATTTCCAGCGAAGGCACTTTTCGGGGCAAAACGTTTCATTATCATTATTATGAAAAATGCATTTTTTACTAGTAACTGCCTTATCCAATCAACTTTTAGAAGTAAAATTAGTTCTGTTAATTACTCTACGCCGTAAGAAATATACTACCAAAATACCAGAGTGATTAACATGTGGTTAAGTCTCATTTGTACCACTCTGGCTTTAGGATGTAACTCGTTGTCTCTTTACGGTTACAATTTTGAGTGAGATATATGATGTTTTTATAGACTAACAGTTGGTGAGTAGATAGAAAACTACATCAAGAATCGTAATATATTGAAATTAGAAAATCGAAAAAAATTGACTTAGACCACTCTGGTTTTCAATGGGTCATATGTAATTAAATATTGTCAGGGACTGCGCCATCTCTCGATAAATCAGTTCTAACTAATAATAACTAAGATATACTATTTCATAAAAATTAGGTAAGGATTCGAATTGGATAAGACGTCAGTAGTAATATTATACTTGTGTAAAAAGCCTATGAAAAATTGCTGGATTTGCAACAATAATGACAATAAAGAGCAAACATAAGTGGATAAGACGGATTTTACTGCAGTAACGTATATAATTTGTAGTAAATTTTATATAGGAATAGGAGACTTTTGCTGCAGGTTGGGACTATGTTTATGTAGATTTCAGGGTCCACTATTAATATATATGTAATTAGGCAATTTAAAAAAAAACGGTATTAGCGGGTTTTGCAACTTGACGTCTCATTTTTATCTTGTGCATGTTGCTATTGAAAAACGATTGGAGTGAAAATCTAAAATAGGAAACCTGATTTTTTCAATACAATAGGACTTTTTGAATAGGAACTATTGTTAATCCAAGCGGACTATAGTCTGACCAACGAGGATACATGGCAGTGACAGTTGTGGCTATCATTTTAATGCACACGTAAATTAAATTTTCTGTCATTTAGGGATGTCTCCTGTCCAAATCTACCCTGACTCGTTGGACAGCCTTTACTCTTAGTTACGCTATTTAAGATGACAATGCTATTTTTTATTTTACCTGATTTCTTCTCTACTGTGGAATTCTCTACTGACAACGACAGACGTATGGTATGTAGTTTGACCACTTTGGTATGTAGTTTTACCTGTGGTTTTACTAAAAAGAAATAAAAATGTTAATAAATGATAAACGAACAATTCTTGAATTATTATTCCAGTAATTCAAGTAAATAAATGGCCATAATAAGCAGATTAGAACAAATCAATGGATAAGGATTCAAGCCAAACCATTTAAAATAAAAATATTTATTCAAATATAATATACGTACTTAATAATAAAAAGCAGTACTGGTTAGAAGTAACAAAAAATACTTGTATAAAAATGTATTCATTCAATTCAAAACTAATGTTGTATTTTTACAACAGTGACATATTCTCGGGAAGCGGTCTGTTCTAAATCAAACTTAATTTATTCTAAAGCTCTATATTTCGATATGGTTTATATCTTCCTCAGGAGCGTAAAGAATTAAGAGTTATAAAGGTATATACACAAAATATATCAAGAGAATTACAAAACAAACATGAAAAATCAATTTGACACGTACTAGTACGAGAGCTAGCAACGTCTGGAAAACGTTCCGTTCACTACTGCGCATTGAAAGAAGTTTCTATATATTTTTATTTAGTCCTTTTAAATACTAGTACTGAATATAAATCGAACAAGTCTCCATAGCGCTGCGCGAAAACGTTCAACCTGGCTGAACTGAAGAATTTACCGCGTGCGTCTCAAAAGTGGCTCACCACTATAACTTTTTTATTTTTTCAATTAAAAAAACGAGATTTGGTATGTTAGTATATGACATAAATTAGGATTGATTGACGTATTCAATTGTTTTCGGTCACTTCCTGTTTCACCGGAAATGACTACAACTTTTGATTTTTAAATGGCACCCTCGCACAGTGGTCATTTTATCCTTTGAATAAGAAGACTAAGGAAGGAGTATAATGCTCTCCATGTATTCATGCATGGTGGGCGGAAAAAGCGCCATAAAAGCACTCTAGGGTGGGGATCCTTGACAGTTCTGTTTGACGATTCATTTGACACACTTGAATTTGATTTGAAATTTTGTGGATTTGTCAGTCTTTACGGAGCTTATTTTATGTTATTTATTATTTATTCTAATACTGATAGTGTATAAAGGTAGTAAATCTAGATGGAAATTGTGGCAGAACTTAAATTAACAGTGACACTATCGCGATTTATCGAAAAAGACTCTAAAATAGTTGGTTGTGTAGCGTGCGGTAGATCTCGGAAAAAATTGTGTGAAATAATGGAACAACTTTTCGCTAGTAAGTGACTATATAATATACATACGTGTAGTAAACCGATCATTTATGAAATTCACTCAAATTAACTAAATTATATATTTTTCTTGCATTTTAGCTTTTATTTATTACTTGTAATTTAGATACGTTTTGATTTGACTTACCTGCTTCAGTAGCGTATCGGATGTTTGTGGTAATAAATACTTATTATAACTTTATAATAATAATTTTAAATACGTAGAATTATATATTTTTATAACAATTTTAATAACTACCAACATTTATTCACAACGTAAAATAAAACAACAAATTATTGAGTCTACCCCACGTCTACCCTACATCATAATTTTACATTTTTTAAATAAAATTAGAACGACACTGATAAACCGGAATTTAAGTCGGCCATATTTGAGGCCCATCGCGGTGTACCTAAGATTTTTGATATGCTCCTTCCTTAGTCTTCTTATTCAAAGATTTTATCCGTTCTAGGTGGACATAAATGTTCTTATTAAATTCCGACAAAGTTATTAGCATATTAATAGTAAGTATTAGTGAATTCAAATAGTGGCCAATTAAGCACAAATCTAACAGCATTATCAGAAAACAATAAAAAAATATCCCCAATATACAGGGTGTTTTTTAATATTACCACAAAATTCAAGGACGTGTTCCTTAGATGAAATGATAGAAAGTTCCTATGAACATAGGTCCGGAAATGCATCGTTTCTTAGATACAGGGTGTTGAAAGTAAAAATATCATATTTGTATATGATTGAAAAAAGAGTACGCTACTGCTTTTTTTAGAACATAAATTATTTTCATAATCTCTGACCAGTTTCTAACAAAAACGGCCTCTTGACATTTTTCTGTCCGACGAACGGTTTTTGCGTGAGAAAATAAAATAAAATTATCCACATTCCTAAAGATGCATAGGACATGTATATAGATAGGGTTATTTTATTTTTTACGCAAAAACCTTTTGTCGAACAGAAAATTGTCGAGAGGCCGTTTTTGTTAGAAACTAGTCGGAGATTATGAATATAATTTTTATTCTAGAAAAAGCAAAGGTGTACCGTTTTTTTGATCGAAAACAAATATGCCAGCTTTCCTATTTTTCACTAATTTTCTACGAAAATGTTCAAATTTTATTTAGCACCGATAACTCCTCTTTCTCAGATAGATGATCTACACCAATAACCTCAAGTAGCCAATTAAAAAGTGCATATACCTTTGGATTTTTTCGGGTTCTTGGCACCAAACTTCAAAAAGTGTTCTACGGGTGACCGAACATGTCGCTGAGAATAAAAAAATATTGATAAAACTTGCAAATATATATGCAAAACAAGGATATATCACAATTAATATAAAAGCCTAAGTATATTTATAAAGCCAGAATCAAAACAGAAATCCGCGGGAATCGATTTATATAGCTTTTTGAATTTGAAAGAAGAATAAAAATAAATATTTTTGCACGGGCCACGAAACAATTATCTATATTATTAAAACCTTTCAAGTTTGAATGTGTTATATTTTTAATTAGTACTACATACCTTGATCTACACCTTCCCTGTTTTAAAAATTTTGAAATCTTTTGAACTAGCGAACACGAACATACGAACTCGCTAACGAACAGCGAAGTCAATAAAATTCACTTTATTACTGCGCGGATTTGCAAAGCAGTCCATACCTGTTTTAAATTGCTCGATACAATATTTTTTTATCAAACATCAACTAATATAGCATTTCTGTTTGTGCATATTTTCTTATAGTATGAGTTCTTATCTTTACAATATACATAAACAAATGTAAATTAGTACACCTAAGGAACCGGAATTTTTATCCACCTAGATTTCAAAAAATGACTATTGTGCCCCGGTATTTTTTTTTAGTTTATTCGATAGAAAATAACACTCTGAATAGAATGACATATCATATGTCAAATTTTGACATTTTCTCATATGGTTTATTTGAAATTGTAACATGCGGTTCATAAAGACAGTTTGATTCGACATACCAAATGTGGTACCAAATTATGGGTAAAAAAATGCTTTTTCCAATTATGCTAATGAGCCACTCTGGTTCGATGATATGTCGCACTATTCAGAGTGCCATTTTCTCTCGAATAAATTAAAAAAATACCGAGGTGCCATTTAAAAATCAAAAGTTGTAGTCATTTTCGGTAAAACAAGAAGTGAACAAAAACAATTGAATATGTCAATCAATCTTATAATTTATGTCATATACTAACATACTTAATCTCCTTTTTTATCTCAAAATATAAAAAAGGCATGGTACAAAGAAAACAAGGTATGATCGATAGCGGCTCCAATTTCGTTAAGTTTGCGCATACCACCTGTGACGTCATACGCCATACAAAAAAATATTCATATTGTCCAATTGCCACTAATTAAAAAAGACCTAAAATAGGGAAGAATTAGGACATAACCCCAAAAGTTATGTCAAATCATCGAACTTGACATTTGAAAAATTATTTTCACATTTATTATGTCATCTGTTTGACAATTTGAAATTGGCGCGCGGAGCTTGCCGACCAATGGTGCCGTTTATCACCTGTGACGTAGTGACCAACCTGCGCAATATCATACCTTGTATTCTTTGTATCATGTAAAAAAGGTATAAGTTATTTCAGCCACTTTTGAGACGCACCCGGTGCGTGAGCCCGTGAACCACTTTTGAGACGCACCCGCTATAACAAAAAGTGAGGATTAGTTTAAAACGTTTTAATAATTTTGCGAATAAATCTAAAGAATAAGTATTGTACATATATTGTTCTGATGCAACTGAAAATAATTATTGTAAAACACAAAATTAATGAACAAATATTTATTTATTATCTATGTAAAAACTATTTATTAACAAATAAAATTGTTCAGAAAATTTAATCTAAAATGCAGTGGTGGCTTGTGAGTTTTTGTTTGAGGGGTGAGCATAACCTCCACAAGAAAAAATAATTATTAAAAAAATTGTGTGTGTACACTGGCTTGATTTGGAAATGAACATGCACATTCCCACAGAGACATTCCCCATATAATTTTACATATAAAATGACAGCGATTTTCATTTCATAGCCATCGCTGACGCTGTTTTTTTTTCAATCATACGGTATTTTACCTACGTTTATACTATACATCTCCATTGAGTACTTATATGCCGAAATTAAGTAAATATACATATATCTGAGGAATCGTCCCTCAAATTTTATTATATTTATAGCCATCCTGTATCGAGCTACGATCTTAAAATATATGGCAATTTAGTTATCTTCTAAAGAATTATTTATTTAACTTACCTGATGGAACCTGTTTTTTTATCCGTCATATTAAACACTCACAGAGAATAAATTTTTAAAACTTAGTTATAACAGATGGAAATTGTTAAAAATAATTAAAAAGAAATCTATTAACGTCAAATCGTATTTTCTTTGTTAACGTTTTCCACGAATACCTTACAATAGACTACATGATGACTGTATCGGCTTTGTAACCAATGATATCTTATCAAAGTGTTCGTTAGTTGGTTAAGATAGGTGATGGATAGGTGATACGATCGGATATTGCCTTGATATTGCCATAAATATTATAAGTATATTATTAATAGGTATAACTAGAAACAATATTTCATGATATATTAAAAATTTATTTTGTTATTTACAGCTAAAATTTGACAGGGTAAAACTATTTTGTATAATAAATAATAAATTTACGATAATAAAGATGAACTTTAATTAAAACTATTTTTTGTTGGTATTTAAATTTTTCCTCTCTTCGTAATAATTGCAAAAGGCGGGAAAGTGTCAGATGATTACGGCTAACTTCATAACAGTCGCATATGTAAATTTCAGACAAGGAAAGAGAGGTAAATTTTAAGTTAACGTGTCCTTTTGCTGCCAGGGCTAATCTAGACAGGGCCTACTTTGTTTACGTGGAATCCGAACTGCGGTCCTCGGCTATGGACATGGAACCGGTGTGGGCTTTGAATAAGAAGACTTTAGGTACACCGCGATGGGCCTCAAATATGGCCGACTTAAATTCCGGTTTATCAGTGTCGTTCTAATTTTATTTAAAAAATATAAAACTATGATGTAGGGTAGACGTGGGATAGACTCAATAATTCTTTGTTTTATTTTACGTTATGAATAAATGTTGGTAGTTATTAAAATTGTTATAAAAATACCCATAATTCTAATAAAATAGATAAGTTATAATAAGTATTTATTAACACAAACATTCGATACGCTACTGAAGCAGGTAAGTCAAATTAACGTATCTAAATTCTTTGACATCTAATCTTTGACAAGTAATAAATAAAAGCTAAAATGCAAGAAAAATATATAATTTAGTTAATTTAAGTGAATTTCATAAATGATCGGTTTACTACACGTATGTATATTATATAGTCACTTACTAGCGAAAAGTTGTTCCATTATTTCACTCAATTTTTGCCGAGATCTACCGCACGCTACACAACCAACTATTTTAGAGTCTTTTTCGATAAATCGCGATAGTGTCACTGTTAATTTAAGTTCTGCCACAATTTCCATCTAGATTTACTACCTTTATACAACTATCAGTAGTAGAATAAATAATAAATAACATAAAATAAGCTCCGTAAAGACTGACAAATCCACAAAATTTCAAATCAAATTCAAATGTGTCAAATGAATCGTCAAACAGAACTGTCAAGGATCCCCACCCCATACCCCACCCTAGAGAGCTTTTATGGTGGCTTTTCCGCCCACCATGCATAAATACATGGATAGCATTATGCCAGAGTACTCTGATTATGCTCCTTCCTTAGTCTTCTTATTCAAAGGGTGTGGGCCGTTGCCAGGGATTGGGATTGATCTTAGGGATCTTATAGATTGATGCTGCAGGCTGCAAGTAATCTCCGATCCTTTCATCACTATTTATTTTAAGATCCATAAAAAGCATTTAAATTTAAGTTTGTTGATATCACAGAAGTAGAAATTCTTTTTAGTCCTAATATGTTTCCATCTTAATTTCCATAATAATACCCATAATCAAGGATAATACTATTACTTTTAAAAGTCTTGTTAAAAATTTATTCTGTTATTTAAATTTCCCGCTTTTAGAACAATAAAACGCGGGAAAGTTGCTTATATAGAAAATATTGCTAACTTCATAACTGTCGCCGTCTCGCGGTTTAACATGAATGGATGAATGCATTTGCATGATAAAGGCATGATTAAAATTTAAAGAAAATTTGGTGATAATGTTTAGTTTTGTTCGGTAATGATTTATACAAAACTTGCCGTTGATTTTCTCAGAATACGTAGTAGCTAAAACAACAGCATTGCAGGTAGCTTAAACTGTTTAATTCACAATGTTTTAATGTAACTATACTATCGAATTTAATAGTAATAATATCATTGCATTAATCATGATGTATTTATCTATTAAACTATTTTATTTTCATTTTAATATACCTTTTCAATTATTGTTGTCCATATCAAGATAACTAGTAATAGTAATTTTCAAATACAAAATAGGCATTATTTATTAACCTCACATAACAAAACTTTTAGGTATTGATTATGGAATACATAAGAAAAACTCGAGCTTCTCCACGAAATGAACAGGAAATTCGAACATCTGTAAGCGAGAATGCCGTGACTTCTTCTAATTTAAATCCCACAGTAAATATAGTTCCTGTTGATCAAGAAAGCCCCAAAGATTTACCAGTAAAATCACAGTTGTTATTAGATAACAAGGCTGAAAATGTGTCTGATATTTATTTATATCCTCAGTGTGATTCTAGTGACTACATATTTAGGTCTTATAATCAGAATGAAGATAGTGATGAGCTGAATCACAAATGTTACGGTTGTAGAAAGAAGAAGTATTTTAATACTCTCAACGAAAGCTTTGCACTGCCTGATGAATCCATATTTTCAAACAGTACAGTATATCTAACAGAAAGAACTGAAATAGATCTAGATACCAATTTAACTAGTGTTGGTGACATATGTGTTCTGGATTTAGATCTAATTAATCAGCCCTGGTTGGTGGAATATCCAGAAGTTATAACACCATATTGGGATGTAGAAAGTTTGTTTCCATTTGAGGAATTCCGAAAAAAAGGAGAATTAGAAAGTTGTAGTTTTTCTTTTGAAGACAACTTTTCTTTTGAAGCTAATGACAATGCTAAAATGAGCACTTCAACACCTTTAAAAAAACAACAAATAGGTGAATCTGGTATTAAATCTATTAACAGTTCTAATGGTGGTGAGGAAATAGATTTCTTAATGTTGAAGGAGAGGGTAGTTAAGGCATTAGAGGAAGTTGTCAGAGAAAATAAACAGATAGGGAACATTGATATGAAGATACAGCTTTTACCAGAGACATCTAACTGTAGAGGAAGTAAAAAAAAAGAAAAAAGTCCTTTGAAAAGTGATATAATTGAGGTTAAAATTTCACCCAATAATGTTGAGTGTACAAGTATTGTTAATAAGGAATTAAATGCAAGGAATGACACACAATTAGTTAACAATGGTTTATTAAAATTAAATGGGACCCGCAAAAATATGCTCAAAAGAAAAATCAGCAAGGTCAATGGAAGAAAAAATTCACAAGGTGACACCAAAAAACAAAAATTAAATAACTCAGGGGGTCTATTTTTAACATCACGGCGTAGTCTAAGATCCAACTTATTACAAGACACACCGATAACAAGTGATTTATCTTCCAAACAAGGTCTGAATAGAAATATCAATAAACTTCAACGTTTAGCAAGCGTTAAAAAGACTGTACAGAAAAGCAAACTGCCAATAGCAAATAAAGTAAATTCCTCAACATCTAAAAAAAAGTCTGACTTGACAGTTTCGGAACATATTCGGTCAGGTACAAAATCTGGTCTTGACAAATCTAGCATTCCAAAAGAGAGGTAGGTATTTAAAAGTTATTTACTGAGTGATCAAATGTTTCCAAAAAACTTTATTGGGTTTCTGGTTTGAGATTATTATGCCAATTTTTTTAATAAAATTATGATTTTTTTTTAAAATTAAATGGCAAATTCATGGATCAAAAAAATTGATAGTTATAGCATTTCATATAAATATAAAATACCTATAATAAGACTAGAGTTGACAAGAGCATGAAAATATTTTTGAATAACTGTGTATATTGACAGAAATATTTTTACAATGTTCATTACAATACATTTCCCTTGACATTTAATATTTTTACTATATTTTATATATAACAGGTGCATCTCAAAAGTGGCTCACCCCTAGCTAACTTTTTTATTTTTTCAGATAAACAAACGAGATTTGTTATGTTAGTGTATGACATAAATTAGGATTGATTGATGTATTCAATTATTTTCGTCCACTTGTTTCCACCTGTTGACCACCTGTTTCACTGGAAATGACTACAACTTTTGATTTTTAAATGGCACCCTCAGTATTTTTTTACTTTATTCAATAGAAAATGACACTCTGAATATGACATATCATAATTGCTGTCCTCCTTTCACGCAGTTGAGCAGCTCTGAACTGTTCAAGAACGCGATACACTCACTCCATTCAATTGAATCATAAAGTTCCAGAACTGTTCCGCGCCATATGGAGGCACCAGGCTATCGCGCACCGCTCCTTTCAGAACCGTTCTCGAGTAGCCCCAGGGCGTAAAGCCCGGAACTCGAAGTTCGCGAATGGAGGACAGCAAATATGTCAACTTTTGACGTTTTCGCTTAAAACAAAATTGTATTTGCCATGGCTGTGTCAAAAACACTAATTTGTAATCAAGGAGTCTTGGAAAATTAGATTTGATCATCTAATGTATTTAGTGTTTTGTCCTGGCAGGTGAAAAGATGCCCATATCGTATTTTTAATCATATCTCAATTTTTTCAAATGGAAGTAGGGTGGCTCGTTAGCATGTTTAGAAAAAGCATTTTTTATGAATAATTTTGTACCACACAGTTTGTATTTTGAGTCAAATTGTCGTTATGAATCGCATGTTGCCATTTCAAATAAACCATATTCGAAAATGTCAAAAGTTGACATATGATATATCATTCTATTTAAAGTGTCATTTTCTATCGAATAAAATAACAAAATACCGAGGGTGCCATTTAAAAATCAAAAGTTGTAATCATTTCCGGTGAACAATTGAGTGCCTTAACAATTAAGTGACCGAAAACAATTGAATACGATAATCAATCTTAATTTATGCCATATGTACTAACATACCAAACTCGATTTTTTATCTGAAAAAATAAAAACGTTATAGGTGTGAGCCACTTTTGAGACGCACCCGGTATAGTATGCGGAATTGTAGTTTATCAGTACTAAATGGCAAATTCATTAAGCTAAAAAATTATGTAGCATTCAATACAATAATACACAACTAGAGTTTCAAAATATATTTGAATCATCCTGCGTATCGAAAAAGATATGTGTATAATGTGTGCTATACAGTTACCTACATACAGGGTGGTCATTTAGTGCGAGGAAGTCCAATATCGTCGATTTATAAAGGGGCATATTCTAAAAATATTTTGTTGTATATAGGGTGTCACAAAAAGTTATGATAAAGTTATAAGTTTTTTTTAAATTGCATCCTCTATTTTTCTGAACATAATTGGATTTAGCGGATTTAGCATAAAATTCTGCATATAGTATACTATTTTTATTTGAGGCACTATGCAATGTTACCATTCTATTTCTTATTTACTAAAACTTTGGTTAAAAACACTAGATATATCCAAAAAGTGGTTAAAAACTGGAGTCAATTGAACTTTGTTAACACTTAGCTATATTTTCCTAAACACCAAGGGTAACAGACCGCGAAGGAAAATTTACATCATATTATACAGGGTAATTTTTATGGTGTCGCCAACATCGCAATATTTAAAATTCAAATCTCATTTTTATAAATGCAACACCCTGTATATTATTTTGTTTAGATGCAGAATTAAAAAGTAAACATTTTTTGTATTTTAGTGTATTATGTAATATAATACAGTGAATATCTGCAAAACCACTAAAAATTAGGGACACTTTAAATACACAAAATATTCATTATTTTTTATTTAATTTTTTCTTGGCTTTAGGTCAGGTAAACAATGAGAAAAACGTTTTTTTTTTATAAATTACATTGATATTTCGACCTGGTAGGGTCTTTATCAAAATTTATTACTTGAAAGTAGATTTCGGCGCATTGTTTTAGTTCTTATTTTAATTTTTATTGTTTTCTTTTTACAATTTTATCATTTTGATTCTTAGTGAAGAAAATAATCTATATTGGTATAGGATTATTTTCTTCACTAAGAATGAAAGATTGGTATAAGATTACTTTCTTCACTAAGAATGAAAATGATAAAATTGTAAAAAGAAAACAATAAAAATTAAAATAAGAACTAAAACAATGCGCCGAAATCTACTTTCAAGTAATAAATTTTGAAACATCTATGTAATTTATAAAAAAAAAAACGTTTTTTCTCATTCTTTAATATATCATTTACTATGCTCTCTGGAACAGCATGCGACCCGTCTGGCTGCCGGTAAACGTTTCGTTCCCTACTGCGTATTGAAAGAAGATTCTATACTTTTATTAAACCGAGCGAGTCGCCATAGCTCAGCACGTAGAGGTTCCGCCTATCAAGCGAGGAGTCAGAGTTCGACACCGGGTCAGGGCAAACACTTTTTTACTTTATTTTCGTTTATATTCTTATAGTAAAGTATTAAATAATTCTGGCGATTAAAAAAACAAATATTTAATACTTTACCATCAGAATATTGTTGTATACCGAACGGCTCTAGCATGGCAAGCTGTACCTTGCTACTCCCAAGGCGTCAAACGCTATATACGGGAGTTATTATTATATACTATCAGAATATAATATATATATATATATATATATATATATATATATATATATATATATATATATATATATATATATATATATAAACGGGATTTGGTTTAAGTATTTAATACTCATTTCCAACTACAGCCTATTGCTGCCTTCCTGTTACCCTACGCCACACATCTCGATTTAGAGCGTCATCAGCTTCTAGGTTACGAGCTTCCATTGCTTCCGTAACCGTTCCGTTCCAGGATTTTCTAGGTCTACCTCTCTTTCTTCTGCCCTGGGGAGCCCATTGAAAAACTCTTTTTGGCCGCCTGTTCTCCGGCATACGCAGAACATGTCCAAACCATTTTAAGCTGGATTTTTCGATTCGATCTAGTACTGTTTCCTCCGATGCATTCATGATACGCCTGACCTCGATGTTTGTCTTTTTTTCCATCCTAGATATACCGTATGATCGAATAAAAACGGCGTCAGCGATGGCTATGAAATGACGATCGATGACATTTCCCATATAATTTTACATATAAAATGACAGCGATCTTCATTTCATAGACATCGCTGACGCCGTTTTTATTCTATCATACGGTACCTGCACTTCTTCTAAGGTAGTCCATTTCAACAACTTGGATTTTGCGCTTCGCGTCTGCACTCAGAGTCCATAGCTCTGAACCATAGCAAAGAACTGACTCCACCAATGTTCTTCCAAGTCTCTTTTTAGTTGTTGCAAACAAGTTTCGGTCCCATCAGAGGCTGTTAAGACATCCAATAACTTGTTTGCTCTTCTGAATTCGGGTTTGTATTTCTACTTTGCCCAAACCCTCGTTGTTGATAGTAGCACCCAGGTATTTAAATTTGTCTACTTGTTGAGTCTGGACGTTATCATTAATGAAGACTTCAAAACAAGCATTGGAATTGACAGCTAAGTATTCGGTCTTCTTTAGACTAACCTGAAGTCCCCATTTGTTGTATTCTTGATAAAGCCTCTTAGTCATGAACTCTAGATCGTATGAGTCCTGCGCAATCACGACCTGATCGTCTGCAAAGTTCAGGGTAAATAGTGTGTTGTCCCCAATGGGTATTCCCATACCTTGACATTTCGTCTTCCATTCCCTAAGGGCTACTTCGACGTAAGCGTTGAAGATCAGAGGAGATAAGCTGCATCCTTGTCGCAAACCTTTTGTGGTGTTAATTGGATTAGATAGCCTGTGTCCTATCTTAACGTACGATTCATTTTCTTTATATATCTCTTTTATTATCTTAAGCAAAGGTCTATCTACTTCTAAGTTATTCAATACTTCCCATATCTTGCTGCGGGGAATAGAGTCGTACGCTTTCTCCAAATCAATAAATGCTAGATGGACTTCTTGATCTACTGCTATCTTTTTTTCCATCACCTGCTGCAGGACAAAATGGTTATCTGTGCAAGATTTCCCCGGTGTGAATCCGCTTTGGTCTTCCGAGATTTTGTCACCAATACTGTCCTTGAGCCTACCCTGTAGCACCTTTCCAAAAAAATTTTTTCTTTCTTTTTTTTTTTGGATCAGAATATAAACGAAAATAAAATAAAAAAGTTTTTGCCCTGACCCGGGTCTCGAACTCGGACTCTGAATCCTCGGTTCGTAGTCGGAAACTCTACGCGCTGCGCTATAGAGACTTGTTCGATTTATATTCAATACTAGAATTTAACGGACTAAATAAAAAATATATATAGGATCTTCTTCCGATGCGCAGTAGTGAACGCAACGGGTATCGGCAGCCAGATGGGCCGCATGCTGTTCCAGAGAGCATAGTTAAAGATATATCAAAGAGACTAGTAAGTCTGCATCTAAACGAAAAATAATATACAGGGTGTTGCATTTAAAAAATTAGAGATATAGCATTTTAAATATTCCGATTTTGGTGGAGCCATAAAAAATACCCTGTGTATAAGATAATGTAAATTTTTCTTTGCGGGTTTATTCTGTTATTCTTGGTGTATAGGAAAATGTAGCTAATTATTGATAAGTTTATAATCACTCCTGTTTTTAACCACTTTTCGGATTTTTTAACCAAAGTTTTAGTAAAAGAGAAATAGAATGACAACACCACATAGTGCTTCAAATAAAAATAGTGTGCTATACGCAGAATTTTATAGTGAATCCAATTATCTAAAAAAACGGGTGGTGCAATTGAAAATAAAAAAACTTTATCATAACTTTTTTATGTAACACCCTGTATACAATAATACATTTTTAGGATATGCAGCATTATAAATCATGCAACATCTGTATAAAACTTTTTTTCATATCTTCGACAATAACGACGAGATTGGACTTCCTCGCACTAATGGGCCACCCTGTCAGGGGAATTTTAAATTAAAAGGGGTCTTTATTTTGGAGAAAATTTAGTCCAAACATAAGGAAATTTTGTTGATGTTTGACCATCAAAATTTTAAAAATAAAGTAGTTGTCTAAAAATCTGCTACAATATGGATATTATATTTTATTTATCCTTTATCTTTAATTTCCTTCTTCATTTGTGTAAAAATACCTAGCCAGTTTTACATAAAACGTTAAATGCTGAACGCTTATTTTGCTACTTTTTCGGACTAGTGAAATGGCCTCTTAAAAAAGATTTGAGGGAAAATTTCAAATCAAAAACCTGATAAAAAGCTTTTTGTAATCTTGAATTTATTTTGAAAATTGTAATTATATTAATGAACAGTTAATTTTAAATTGGTTCAGTTAGAGTATGAACATCTACGATCTGGACTGCGGTTTAATAATATTAATTTTAGGTTATCCAGGTCTCGTAGTTCAGAACCATTGATATCCAAACGAATTCTGAGATCTAATTCTCAAGAAAGGGACATTTCTTTAAACAAATCCGTGATAGATAACGGAAGTCAAAATAAGTCTAAAAGACGAAAATCGTTGGGAAACCTTAACAGTATCAAACCATTAGACCTATGTTGTAATGCACCAAGGTTAATAAGATCACAACCTGACAACACAGATATTACTAATGCAAAATTAAACCAGTCTGATGAAGATGAAATAGATGACCTAGATATTTCACCCCCGAAGTTAAAGTAGTATTTAAAACTTTAGTATTGGCAAAATTTATTAAAAATGTTTATTTTAGGCCACAGGTGGGTGCGGAATTTCAAATTGAAAATGACGATGAAAAAGTTAAAATGGATCTTTTGAAAGTTGTTTTGAATCCTTTGGAAATACATTATAATGGTGGGGGGTCAGTGTCATCAAATTCTATGACGTATCCGTCACAAACAGGTCTTGGTAGGTTTTCTGCAAAAGCAACCGTTTCGGATGACACTGATGATGCAGATATAAAACCTAAAATTGAATCTGATGTAAAGGATGTTAAAAATGGTAAGTTGGACTATAAATATTTTGTATTAACGGCAAAATATTACAGATATTTCTTATTAATGTTTGTTTCTCTTTTTCTCAATATTGAGTTTAATAACAAGTGTGGTCAGGGTTGGGTAACGACGCGTAGAAAATTGATTTTCTACGTGTATGTAGAAAATTGCGTAGAATATGTAGAATATTAAGTAGAATATGTATAAAATCCGAGAACAGGTACAAAATCAATTTTGTATATTTAAAGCCGTTTTTTTTTCACTTTTGAATTTTGTTCCTCGGTATTTTTTTAAATTCTATAAGCGTTAAAATTGTAATATGTATGCGCGCGCTATCTATTCTGTGACTGAAGATCAGAGAGAGTAATCGATCTGAATACTATTAGAATATTTTTTTTCTATTTAATTTGCACACCGTACAAAAAAGTCTGATTTTTATAAGTTTTTGTTGTTCCCTTTTTTAATCTTACCATAGAAAGCCTGTGGTTTCATAAACTATATACATATGATAATAATTATTGTAGTTTGTAGTTCTTACTTTCATTATGTTAGATGTTATCTTTTTTTGTTGTTCTATTTGAGTCTTACCAAAGTTTACTGTTGTTAATTATTCTGTGTACAAAGGACAGAAACCAATCAGAGTTGGTAGTCGTGCTCGCGCCTTTTAAAATAAATTCAAGTAAATCCCTTTTAGATAAATAATTTGTAAATAAGTTTGTAAATAGTTCTTTAAGTGTTTTGTCGTTATTATTTTGTTACTTAGTGTAAAATAAATTGTGTTTAAATAAATTAGGCTTTTTATCCACACCGAACCGACGAAAAACGTAACAATACTATATACTATCCATTTGTCAAATAATAAATAACAATTAGAGATATCGTTATTAGTTTATATACTAATAATTGTTGTGTAAAGTATTTGGGAAATAAATATTAACTGAAAGAACGGCTTACAATATACAAAACTAATCTTCTACGTCTGGACATGTAAAAAATGTAGAAAATTGGTGTAGAAAATACAGTAGAATATATAAAGTTTTCTGCCTACCCAACCCTGAGTGTGGTATAGTATCTATATTTTGTTTTGCTTTATGAATTAGTTAAAATGAATTTATCAAAGTTTAATTTATTGTTATTTTTCTATCTAAAATTCAATAAAGACATAGAAATATGTGTATAGTGTCCAGCAACGGAACATGATTATGACAGGCAACATTAAACAATTACAGTTAAGACAGTATAAAGCCCCGTTCTCAGAACTCTCTTTTGTCCAATGAGATTTTTACAAAATTCTGTCAATTTAATATTTAGTACAACCCTTAATGGTTCTTTGAAGTATCACCCAGTATCACAACGAAGTTCTGAGAACGAGGTTCAAAGCCTCGGAGTCAGAACTGCGTTGTCGGCATTTCAAAGAATGAGTGAGATTTGTACAAAATTCGAACAGCTGTTAAATTTAAATTTCGTACAACTCTCAGAGGGGGTTTATATATATCCGTCTTGTCTTAGACAAGGAAAGAGAGGGGACGCGTAATTGACATCTACCAGGAATCACTTTTCACAAACGGCGTTGGCGTGGAGCCTAGCGATTTGGCGATCACAGAATTTCTACTGGTATTACCCTCTCTTTCCTTGTCTAAGCGTCTTGCGCCGCCCGTAGTTCATTTTATGGAATTTTATTAAACGGTTTTATTTAGCTCGACCCGTACGGTATTTATTTATTTGTTTGTTTATTTGGGTCAAAATTAGAAATTGAAATTTAAGTACCTTCCTGTTGTCAGATTGATCTGAAATTTGGTACACACCTTTAGTTCCGATGACAATACAATATAGTAATATCAATAACATTGTAAATCTAAGATGGCCGCCGCGCCGGTAAAAAAAATGGCGGATTTCATATTTTTCCACAACCCCCTCAATATGGGTATCAAATGAAAGGGCTACACTTGTAGAATACTGTGATTATGACAAAATTTAAAATCCAGGATGGACGTCGTTACAAAATGGCGTATTAGGTGAGGGCATGAGTAGTCGTGTCCAGAACAGTTGTGTCCAAGATTGTGTGACGTTAGAAGGACAGATAAAAAAATAGGTGATTAAATGTACCTACGTAGTTAGCGGTAGCTTTACCACCCAAGTTAAGGTAATAGGTTAAAACGTGCTGAGGACTGTATGGCATTAGGGTGGCTAAAAATGTAATGTCGCAAGCGTTTTCCCCTCAAGATTGGGCGCCTCTTGTTGTATATTATAGCCTTGCCCTCTACTGGACCTCCTGGGGGTCGACCGTTAAAATGTCCATTACTCGTGGGAACAACATGGAAACAATAAATAAAAAAACAAACAAAAATAAAAACGAAACTGCTACACAACGAAAAAGAAGGAAGAAAAGTATAGAACGAAACGTGCAAAAGAAAGTGAAAATGAAATCTATAGTCGACTACAGAAACGAAGAGAACGGTTAGCAACAGAAACACCTGAGCAACATGATGCCAGGTTAATAGCACAACGTGAGAGACAAAGGCAGCTGGTAGAGTCAGAAACACCTGAGCGTCATGAGTCCAGGCTAGCATCACAACGTGACAGACAGAGAGTTGTTAGCGGCAGAAACACCTGAGCGTCATGAGTCTAGGCTGGCATCACAACGAAAGAGAGACAAAGAGAGTTGTTAGCGTCACAAACACCTGAGCGTCATGAGTCTAGGCTAGCATCAGAACGCGACAGACACAGAGAGTTGTTAGCGTCAGAAACACCTGAGCGTCAGATTGTAATAAATTATCAGGTAAAAACCATGTAATAATGATGCACTAAATGAATTAAATAGAATGAGGAATATTCGGTAGGCATTTCCGTTAAATACTAAAAACTAGAAAATAAAAAATCGGTAAAAAACTTTTAAGTTAAACGGTTTTATCTTATGTGCACTGAAAACTAGATAATAATAATAACAATTAGGTATTTTGAACTTCTAGTTCAGAAATATTTTAGTACTAGGCAGAATAGCTTTTAGGCATATTAGACTAAAATAAAAACGTGGGGAATAGATACCCATTAACTATTGCTGTAATACTTTCTTCTATACTAAGTGTGGATTGCATCGACTTACTATAATCGTAACTGGAGATTTTGACAATCAATAACCAGCCGTGGCGGCTTCACCAGCGAACGCCGAGCTCATGATCTACCAAAGTATAAAGATATGCTTTGCCATAGGTAGAATTTCAGAGGGGCCCCACGTTTTTATTTTAGTCTAATATGCCTAAAAGCTATATTCTGCCTAGTACTAAAATATTTCTGAACTAGAAGTTCAAAATACCTAATTGTTATAATTATTTTCTAGTTTTCAGTGCACATAAGATAAAACCGTTTAACTTAAAAGTTTTTTTACCGATTTTTTATTGGTTTATTTCAAAAATGAAATGTAATACTACAACAAGATTGCTGCAACGGAACGAAGGACGACCCATAACGGATGCATATAAACCCACCTTTATTCGTTTCTCAGAACTACGTTGTGTCGTTGGCTGTATCCGCGCTAGAACATATTTCTGAGAAAGCGGATAATTCAGTAAATTACAAAAAATTGGGTGTGCACTATGTGCGCATATTTGAAGTGAAACTTCTTCTTACTTCCATCTGTCTGTCCCGTTTGAGGACTCCATTCGGCTACCTCTATCCACGTGCCGGGTTTGGTTCCAATCCACCAATAATTAAGAAAAATCCTGATGATTTCGTCCACCAAGAGGCATCGGTTCGAAACGTCGAGGGCGTCATCCTGTAGCCCGTCCCCAATTATGCCGAAATCAATCCACATTTTTTGTTAATGTCAAATCGTTAGTCCCACTCTGATGAAGATGTAAACGAAGCGTCGTATCCAACTTTCCAGGCTCCTCCAGCCCTCCAAATTTGGTCGCAATCGGACGACATCAACATTTGATGTTTCTTAAATACTATTTTTTAAGCGAGATTGTCAAAAGTTGACATATGATATTTTATTCTATCATTTCCGGTGAAACAGGAAGTGACCGAAAATAATTGAGTACGTCAATCAATCCTAATTTATGTCATATACTAATATACCAAATCTCGTTTTTTATCTGAAAAAAATAAAGTTATAGGAGTGAGTCTCTTTTGAGACGCACCCGGTATACAAAAAGAAAGGCAACATAGATTAATAAAAGGTGCATCAATCTCTGAGTATTACACAAAAAAAGTGTTCAGAATTTTATGTAGAATTTAGAAGCATTAAAATACCGGGTGCGTCTCAAAAGTGGCTCACTTCTGTAAGTTTTTAATTTTTTCAGATAAAAAAACGAGATTTGTACAGTGTGTCCCATTTTGGTTGAAATCATAGCCACTTTTTCGTCAAACGGAAGATGCTGCAAACAAAATTTTCATAGCTCCTCTTTTCATTTCTGAGCTACAGGGTCTTTTCGAAAATTTTGCAATTTGGGGACACCCCCTGTATCTCTGTAATTGTTAAAGGTATCGAGAAGGCGAAAACTGCTTATTGTAGAACTTTTTACGTAGAATACAGTGGCGTAGTCTGTTTTTCTACCAAAAATATTTTTGAAAATATGAACTAAAGTTATATTTTTTCAAATGGAACACCCTGTATATTTATAAATCATATGATCTGTCTTGCTATGAGCTTCTCAAAAATATATATCACTCTATATTTATTTTCACTATTTACTGCAATTTTTAAAATATATCATTTTCTGATTAGTAGGCCGTGATAAATAACAAAAAATCAAAATGGTATTTACTAAAATAGTCATACACATATTAAAATTTATTACCACTGAAACTGTGAATATATTTTTCTTTTTTTTATAACGGGATGGGTTTGCAAATATCTAAATCTTGAATGATTAAAGCATTTTTCAGGTGTTCGACATTGTTGTAGTGCCTACGATATATTTCGTATTTCAAAATTCCCAAAATCAGAAATCGAGAACGGCGAAATCTTGGGAATCGAGGAGGCTATCAATATGCGTTCATTGGTTCCAATTCATTGATTTGAAAAATAATAATTTAAGAGTATTCTAATATTTCCATAGTTATGAGGGGAATGTTCCCCATCTTGTTGAAACTATATTTCACGTAAATTAGCTAAAGGAATATCTAAAATTTCCGATACGATAGATAATTCTTACGTATACACGTATTCCAAGATTTACAAATAGCGGTAGAGAGTTAAGTTTCCCTAATATATAAAGAATTTATTAGCGGCTCCCAAAATAAAACAAGAGACCGATAGCAGTATACTTTTAATAATTCTTTAGTTTCTTTTATTATCAATCATGGCCTACTAATAAATATGATATTTTAATAAAAACTTTTAAATATTGCAGTAAATAATGAAAATAAATATAGAGTGATATATATTTTTGAGAAGTTTATGGCAAGACAGATCATATGATTTATAAATATACAGGGTGTTCCATTTAAAAAACATAACTTTAGTTCATATTTTCAAAATATTTTTTGGTAGAAAACAGACTACGCCACTGTATTCTACGTAAAAAAGTTCTACAATAAACAATTTTCACCTTCTCGATAGCTTTAACAATAACAGAGATACAGGAGGTGTCCCAAATTGCAAAACTTTCAAAAAGACCCTGTAGCTCGGAAACGAAGAGGGCTATGAAAATTTTGTTTACGGCATCTTCCGTTTGACAAAAAAGTGAGACAGGTTTGTGCAAACCGCACCCTTCTATCTTCACTAATAACGGAGATACCGTATGATTTCAACCAAAATGGGACACCCTGTACATTAATATATGACATAAATTAGGATTGATTGACGTATTCAATTCTTTTCGGCCACTTCCTGTTTCACCGGAAATGACTACAACTTTTGATTTTGGTTAATGGGAATGATTTTTATATTGTTTTTCCAAAAAAATCCTTTATGGGTATTTCGCCACTGCACTGCAAGAAAATCTACAAAATAAAATAATTATTTTTTGTAAACACTTCTGCGTTAAACCTAAACGGACACTGCCTGTCAGAAGTTATGTTGATAGTAATACAAATTTGCCTAACAAAGAAAAAAATGCTTAATGTTTCGGAAAGTTATCTCTTTCCGTCGTCGGAAGCAAAAAAAATACAAAGAATATAGAAAAAAACTATTTAAAATGTTTAAATTCAACTATTCGAGAACACTTTACTTTTTTAAAACAGATACGTCTACAAGAAACCGTTGACGTTCTGTTAAAATGCCATTTTTAACTTGATATTTAAACTTCAAAATTAACAATTACTGCCTGATAACAATTACTTAATGTAAAACCAAAAAGCCCCAAACTTTCTGTATGATTATTTTTAAATTTTACGTATGTTATGTTTTTTTTAAAATCAAAGAAGCGATTGCCATACATTACTAACATCTACAGATGCATGAGCAATACATTTATTTTTATTAGATTGAATTAAAAAAGCCTCTTTTATTTTTCTTTTAGAGGCTATCGCTTCTTTCATTATAATTTTGGCGTTATTAAAAAATTTATTCTGTGCCCTGTGCCCCAAGAATGCTGACAAACTTAGATTTGTGAAAATCTCCCTTTCTTAAATAATCTTTATGTTCTTTAATTCTGACATTTAAGATGTTTCACCAATGTAAAATTTATCGCATTCACAGGGTATTTGGTACATTACATTTTTTGTTTGTTGGTCTGTATTCATTGGTTTAGTATGTGATAAAATGGATCTAAGTGTATTTTGTTCTAAGTGTTTTTTTTGAATAGTTGAATTTAAATATTTTAAATAGTTTTTTTCTTTATTCTTTGTATTTTTTTGCTTCGGACGACGGAAAGAGATAACTTTCCGAAACGTTAAGCATTTTTTTTTCTTTGTTAGGCAAATTTGTATTACTATAAACATAAGTTCTGACAAGCAGCGTCCGTTTAGGTTTAACGCAGAAGTGTTTACAAAAAATAATTATTTTATTTTGTAGATTTTCTTGCAGTGCAGTGGCGAAATACCCATAAAGGATTTTTTTGGAAAGATGAATCCGCCACATAGGTATAGACATTTTTTATTTTTATATTGGTTAATGGGAAGAAGATCTAAACTATCGCTAGAGAATAAACTTCTTTTATACAAAACCATAATAATACCTATTTGGACATATGGAGCAGAACTCTGGGGATGCGCTAGTAAATCAAATGTTATTGAAACACAATATCTGATCAATTAATAATCTTCAGTAAATATTTAGTACTAAAAACTTTGATACCCTTGGAGAAAAGGAGCCTTAAAATTTTTACTGCACTTTCATAAAATTAAAAATATTTCAAAAATGGTAAGGTTTAAGTGTGATAAACCTTAATCAAATTTACCTTTATTTCAATCGTAGAATCTAAAAATAGAATAATATACAGGGTATTCCATTTAAAAGAAATACAACTATATTTTTTTACTTCCTTGGGACACTCTGTATCTTGTAAAAATATTTTTAAATTGTAGCTCTAATAGTCCTTCATCGAATCCAAAACTTACAATTTGTAAAAACCTAATCGTTTAGCCACAACACTCCGTGTCGTATGTGGTGAACAATCCTGTATAATTTTAGTAACAAAAGAAAAAATCAGTGGCGTATGTTTCATTCTTTTTTAAATACAAAGGAGCCAATCTAAAATTCTACAGATGATAACAGACGCACCATGGTATGTCTCCAATCATACTCTACATGAAGACACTCTACATTAAAAATTCCATACGTCAAAGAAGTCATTCAAACTCGGAGTAAAAAACATTTCATTAGACTACATGATCACACCAATACCTTACTTCAGCCTCTACTTGAACCAGTACCTACAAGAAGACTAAAAAGACAATGGCCATCTGATTTGAAAGAATATTAAGGAGGATTTTTCACTGGAGAATCACACCTCATCGCGTTAACTGGAGAGTCATTGCTCTCAAGTCATCAAATTAGCCCATAGAATTTCCTTGCAAATATTCTGATTGCTAATAAATCATAATAATAACAAAAAAAAAATCTGAAGAATATATAATTTCCCTTTGCTCTGCAAATGATATCTCCAAGCATTATACAGAAAAACATTTTGAAAATTTCATGTAGAATTTAGAAGCATTAAAATATATGAAAGGTTCCGTTTAAAAAAAAACAACTTGGATATTTTGAAGAGAATATATATACGTCTTTAAATTTATATTATATTCAGGCCTAAGGGCGGAAATGTTGAAATGTTTTTTTCCGTTTTTATCTATTTGAGATAAAATATTAACTATTTTTATGTATCATTGATTCATTTTGCCATACTTAAAAAGTGTCGAATTTGGAAATTATAGAACGTTTGAACTGTGTACCTATCAGGAAAAGAATATAATAAATTTTTTTATTAAATTAAATATTTTATTAAAAAAAATGGTAATAAAACTGTATATTGCTGTATTGCAAAATAAAACACTAATACACCAAAACATTTTTCTATTGCACTGGACGCGCGTTCCGCTAACTATATTAGCATCATCAGCAGATAGCAGATGATTAAAATAGTTTCAATCTAGCAGATGATGCTAACATGGTTGGCGAAATGCGCATTCAGTGCAAAAGTAAAGTATTTTGGTTTATTGTGGTGGATTAGTGTTCTATTTTGCTGTTGTAACACCAAAGGTTCCAATACTCAACTGTAATAATGTTGCTGTACTATTAAACGTTATTTAATACAAATTTTCTTCCTAGGAGAAAAAGTAGTTTATAAGTTGGGCAGTTTTGTATGGGCCCAAGTTGGCAAGCATCCTTATTGGCCAGCAATTATATGTCATGATTCAGGAATTAAAAACTATTTTAAAAACGGTATATCTGATTCATAATGTGGTATTTCAAATACTTAATCCGATTATTTTTTAGTACGGAGACCTAATAAATCCAATCTTACCTTATATCACACCAGATTTTTTGGAGATAAAGGAAGAAGGGCATGGATTAAAGAGAATCATCTTATGCTTTACAACAGCAGAGATGATTTAAGTATCGCCTTGCGAACAATAAGATTAGAGGTAAGTGGTTCTATGGTTCAAAAATATAGGGTAAGTTATAAACACGATAAGACGACCTAATAATGTAGGCGAGTAGGTGCTTAAATCAAATAATTACTTATGCAAATCATTTAAGATTTTATATGAAAAAATAGCACAAATTAACACTTGAGCGCTTGACACATCGGGTATATGATTCTTTCTTAACTAAAAATGATTCTATTATTATACCGTGCTGGCAGCTCTTACTTTTGGGTAGGTATTTGCATGTGTGAAAGTAAATCACATTTAGAATTTTTAGAATTTAGAATGAGTGGGAGGGGGGTTAATCACTGCGACCTTACAGATCTATTGTGTCCCCCTTTTTTGAGTTATAACTCATCATACAGTCCCAGGGCTTTGACAAAAGCCAGTATCTGGGACGGTTTGGTTGTAGAGGGTAGTTCTCCATCTCCAATATCAGTCGTACCAAAGTTCATGGCACGAATGGTTTGGTCGTCTCGGCGCACTCAGTGATGAGGTGTACAGGTGTTTCCCCATTTTCCCCACAGAATCTGCATTCGCCGTTTCTTCTTAGTTTCAATCTACTGAGGTGTTCATTGAGGAGTCAGTGTCCTGTTAAAAACCCCGTGACAATCCAAAGACTGTTCTTACTTAAACCCAGGAAGATCTGTGTTTTTTCTTGATCGTAAGTCATCAGAAACTTCTTCGAGTGTCTTAGACCGTTTGATCATTTGCTTTTTCATTGCCTTCTATCCCTTGGTGAGCAGGCACCCAGAGTAGGAGGACTTTGTTTTCTTTGCCTAATTTATTCAGCTTCTCTATGCATTCCTTGACCAGTTTCGAATTGATTGATACTGAGTTGATCGCTTTTAACGCTGCTTGACTATCATATATGATGGCTATTTCTTGTTTCCGATAGTTCCTATCTAAGATAAGTTGTATGCATCTTTCGTTAGCGCAGATTTCTGCCTGTAGGATGCTAGGGTAAGTGCAGTGGGTAAGTAAATCACATAGGGATCTTATGAAGTCGGAGTGAGAGAAATGAGACGGTGTGCTGTTGCGGCGTTGTCACATTTCTCCGGTACGCCTTTCCCTATCTAGTAAAGTCAAATCACGATCGCAAACCGCTTATTTTTAAAAGACTTTTTTTCGAAAAGATAACTAGATCAAATCATTAGATATATTTGTAAGCATCTGAAATGGAATTTTGAGGATATCCTTAGGGTATCCATATTTTTTATAACGAGAAAACGTCAGTAATCGCGATAATTTAAAAACTCAACTTTTTAACACATAACACGCGATAACTCAAGAACTATTTTAGATATTGAAACTTTTTTTTATAACTATTTTAGATATTGAAGGCTTGTAATTTTATTCAAAAATTTAAAAATACTCGTCCATTTACTTTTAGTGCATAGCAATTTTCAGCAATCGTGTAACTTTTTTATTTGTAAAGATTTTCACATACTGACTGCGAAGAAAATATAGCAGAAATATTAAGAAAGTTTTTGAAAAAAACTACGATCAGTTATTTTTAATGGATTTTGAGATATCGATTTTTGAGTTCTAATAGCGCGACCACTGTCGAACACCAATTCAACTCCATTTATTTTTACCAAAAGTGCATTATTTTTACCAAAGTGTTTCTACTTGCACTTAAAAATTTGCAAGCTATAGGAAAAATTACAACGACTCGTTAATAAACAAACAAATAAAATATCGCGAGACTGAATACATGATATACACCCTTCTCTAGAAATTTTAAGTACTGATTTGGTTAACCGGTCGACCGTAACGAATCTCCTTCCACAGATTCCCAGATTCCCGATTTATTTCATACGTTTGGCAACGTTTTTACTATTCTCTCTTTGTTCAGCACATCTTAAACGCATTGTACTCTTCTTACATACGGTAATCTCGACCTAAAACTAACCTTTGCCAGCTCTTAGTATAGCATCTAGTTTTGATGACATAACCGATTGTGCGTAGATAGCTGATAGCGGGGTCTCATCATGATATACATATGCCATTAAAAAGTCGTTGTAAAGTGATACATGTGAGTCTAGCCTTATTCTTTACAGGGAACTACATTTTTATGGCAACTCTAGTAGTTTTTTTTTTAAATCTTACTATGTATATGAAACTTAGACCTATACTAAGTGCTGGCAAAGGTTAGTTTTGGGTTGAGATTTCGGTATGTAACAGGAGTACAGTGCGATTTATAATGTACTGAACAAAAAGGGGGATTATAATGTACTGAACAAAGAGGGAACAGTAAACACGTTGCCAAACGTGTTTACTGTTCCCTCTTTGTTCAGTTGTTTAAATATGAAATAAACCGAGAAACTGTTCACATTTCTAAGAGACGTGGAAGAGGATATAGCAGATTTGTGGCAGTCGACCGGTAGACCCAATCAGTACCTGTCAGTACTTAAAGTTCCAGGGAAAGGTGTACATCATGCGTTCAGCTTCTCGATTTAATTACGTCTCGTGATACTTTATTTGTTTATTTATTAACGAGTCGTTGTAATTTTCCCTATAGCTTGAAAATTTTCAAGTGCAAGTTAGAAACACTTGAATTTTTGGTAAAAATATGTGGAATCGAGTTGGTGTTCGACAGTGGTCGCGCTATTAGAACTCTGAATTCAAAAATGGGTATCTCGAAAGCTATTAGAAATAATTGATTGTAGTTGTTCAAAAACTTTCTTCGCAGACAGTATGCAAAAATCTTTATCAATAAAAAAGTTACACGATTGCTGAAAACTGCTATGCATAAAAAGGAAATTGATGGGTTGTTTAAATTTTAGAATGGAAAAAACCCAACCATATCGAATTTTTCTTATGTAAACATATTGTAAATAATCCGATCTTCAAAATAAAAAAAAGCTTCAATATCTAGAGCGGTTCTTAAGTTATGGCGTGCATGTTATGCGTAAAAAAGTTGAGTTTTTAAATTATCGCGATTACTGACGTTTTCTCGTTATAAAAAATAAACATCCTAACGATATCCTTGTAATTTTATTTCAGATGCTCAGAAACATATCTAGTGATTTTATCTAGTTACCTTTTCGAAAAATGTCTTAAAAATAAGCGGTTTGCGATCGTGATTTTACTGTACTTGATAGGGAAAGGCGTACCGGCAACAACGCAACAGCACACCGTCGCATTTCTCTCACTCCGACTTAATAAGATGCCTATGCGATTTACTTCCACACATGTTAATACCGACCCAAAAGTAACAGTTGCCAGCACGGTATACTGAGTTAATAATATATTTCTTATTTATTTTTAGAATAAACGTGACAAGCATTTAAAGCCCTATAGGTGTAACCAAACTGGGTTTGCGAAATGGAAACATGCGGTTGCTGAAATTGAATCAGTAAAAGATAAACCATATGAAACAGTGCATTCGTATTTAAAGAAAAGTTGGAACGATTATGTCAATAATAAACAAATAGGGAATGACAAAGCGCCTTTGAAATTAACCCAGTCATCTTTAGAGAACCCATATGTAACACCTAAGGCACCTAAATTGAAATCTCCAAGAAGACATGTCTACAATGATTCTAGTATAAATCGTATAAAGGGGAAAAGTAAAGATTTTAGTGTGCATAGTGAAGCTCAAGATATGGTAAAACTAGGTAAGACCTGACGTAAATTGAAATAAATTCTTTCTTTTCACAAAATATATTTCATTGTATTCCTTTGAATTTGAATACCCGTATTTACCTTTGTTTTAAAACTTTTAGGGTTAATGGGATCATCTTCTAAAGGATCTTTGAACGAACCAATAAGAAAAAATAAAAAGGGTGGTTTACAACGGGTCAGAAATGGTGAGTCTTGTGATTTTTATTGAAATGTAATTATTTATATTGATGAAATAATTGCAGTGTATGAAAAAGCTAATAAATTAAGAGACAAACGCTTTAGGAAAGAGAATGGTATGTTATTTGTAGAAATATTAGTAAATAATGACCTTTTCTCAATTATTGTAGATGGAAAATTAAAGATTGAAGATAGGGAGTCAGTAAATATAGACACTAAAAAATATAAAAATAGTAAGTTTTCACACTATATAAAGAGTTTTTATTTAAAAATAAATATATATTTACTCTAGACAATAAAGTAGTAAAAGAAAACCCATTATTCAATGGTAGAAATCCTGCTATTTTAAATATAGATAATAAAATACAAGTAATATCAAACCACTCTGATGTTAGAACAAGAAAAAGTTATTCAAAGTATTTGTTGGAGACTGGAAATGGTAAGTTATCAGGAAAGGATTATTTTTTGTTTTAATGCTAAATTCACTTTATTTTCTAAATATAAAAAGAGCCATTTCAATCAATCAGAGATGATGTTGCAAATATATGTAAAACACAAAAAGAAATTAAATTAGAAAATATTTCACTGAGGAAAACTAGACAGAGTGTATTTAATAGAGTATATCAAAGTGATCATAATGAAAAGGGTAACTTAATAATAATATTTTAAATAAGAATTGAAAAATTGAAAGATCTATTTGTTTTTATGTCATAGAAGGAAGTTTGGTTATTAGTAAAACAAGTGGAAATAGTAATGAAAGACCAGAAGAAATAGTAATAAAAAAGACCAGAAATTTTCTGATGCAAAATCAGGCATATAAAAGTGGTAAGTTTATTAAACTAGTCAAAATGAATTAGGGATCACTTGGATAAATTTTGTTGGTATAATAAAAAATTACTTTTATGGCATTGTGAAAATATTTTGAATAATTCATCTACTAAAGTTTAACCCGCATTTTTCCCCCCCAAAAAAATTAAACAAAGAACAAAATCTAAGTTAAGAAACAAACTAAATGCAGACAAATATTTGTGTGCTTCTGTCGAAAAAATATATTAATAAAAAGAGAGCTGAGAGTTGCAACAGCGAAATTTTCATTTCAAAAACAGCGATAATTAGATTTCATTGAAATGAAATTAATGCTGGATATGAGTGAATAAAATTTGTAAATAGGAAAAAATCGACTGCTCTCCCTACTTGTTAGTTTTAAATGTTTTTATTAATATATTAATATTATTTAAGTTAATAAGATTTTTTGATATTAAATAATATTATACCCAGCTATTTCTAATTCTTGTTATATTTATTTTGTTTGTATTTTATTTGCGTGTTCAATTCTAGAAACACATAGGAATGTCAATTTTGTACTTAAATATTATATTTTATTTTGTTTGTGTAGTTTATTATACTTTTGATTTTGTTTGATTATTTCATGAAATATCGATATTTGTTAATAAAAGGAAGTCGTGAAAAATTATCTAATTATTTTATTTAAAAAAGCTTTTGATTTATAAATAAAAGATTATCAAATAAGTAAGAAATAAATTTACTGAAATCTGAAACAAAACTATATTTACCAAACATTTTATCCTCATATATCGAATTATAATGTAATAAATCTGGCAACCCTCTGACAACTCATCGTGTCACTTCTAATCAGTGGAAGGGAAAACAGAGTTATCTGTCTTTGTTACACTGCAGGGTAGGCTGCAGCCGTGTCATCTTTTTTATCGCACTGAAAATCTCCTATGCTAGGTATTCCTTTGCCAAAACGGTATGTATGTAGTATTATGCATATACATATCAAATATATACGGATTATCGCCTATCCCTGCAATGTGTTGGAGTTGAAGCCGAGTTAGAGATAACTAGATAACCGGTCCATGTATATTTCACATAAGTTGTATTTCACAATTGTCGAACAGGAACGCAAAACGAAAGCCATACGAAGTTGGACGGAGCCGTACGAATGAACAGCTGGTGCTAGCGTCTAGTCTCTTATTGGTCAGGTTATCCGATCGATAATTCAAAATCCAGACTTGCGCACTACGCTTGAGTACAGCTAACTGAGCGATTTATGCAAATTCCTTCAGAATATTTATATACCCATTTCACCGGCTTGGCATCGCAGAATTCAGTTTGGAGTCGATATTCTTTAGTTAATATATATATGGTATTATGTTACCGTAATGTCCGAAATGCGATAAAACCTAGGATAAACGCGCTAAACCTAGGATTTACCAATGAATAACACCCTCCAAATAATCACGCTAACCAACTCGAAATGCGGTAAAACCGAGGATTTACCGTATTTCGGACATTTACAGTGACATGTATATATCCTGCTGGTCATCCAATTTATGTGGTCTGGATTTTAATACGTGTGACAGAGAATAATATAAACGACCGGCTGGCAGACAGAGAGACAAAATCAAAAGCGGCATACAGTGTTGCCGTTTTTTTTTGCGTTTTTAGGAAAATGGTGTGTAGACAATTATAGGCTATTTTAAAAACTTAATAATTAATAATGTTATAATAATTCTTTACTGAAATGATGATAATATATCTACACTAAATATAATCTATTACAGCTGTAGTAAAATGAGTAACTAATAGTGAAAAATAAAGTTCCAACCCTAGATGCAACATTTTTCATAAACGCCTACTTGTGCGGTTTGAAATTTTGATGTAAAATCCTGCAATACCGCATAGAAGAAACCAATTTCTATCTCTTTTTAATACATTTGATTTTCCATTACGCTGTCTACATCACTGTTTTACGCGTTAAAATCCAGACCGCATAGTTTCGATGACTAAATCGGAGGGGAGGGGGAGTGGCACAGGGTATTCAAAATAAATTTTTAAAATTTTAAAATGAGATCCTATTTTACAAAACCATCTAACTTTTGTTAAGTATATTTTAAAATATATAATTTTTTTTATAGATGGAGAAAAAGAGGTTAATTTAATTGAGAATAGGGGCGTTTCTAAAAGAGGCAGGAAAAAGAAACTACAATTACATGGAGAAAACAAGGTTAATTTAATTGAGAATAAAGGCATTTCTAAAAGAGGGAGGAAAAAGAAGTTACAATTAGACATCTCAAAATTGACCCAAAGTAATGTTACTTTATCATTACCAAATGGACGTGAAATTATTCTTTAGTATTTATTGTAGATGCAGAATCAAACATTCAAGGCAGGTCATCACTCATAAGTAATAATACACAATTTAATGAGACCGATAATAAAGGTAAAATAGCGTTAATAATCAATAAATTATAATTTCAATTGTATTGTTTAATTTTAGAAGATTTAGATCTTAAAGATGACAGAGGAAAGAACTTCATGCTAGAAGAAATATCTGGCAGGCGAACGAGACATAAGTCTTTCAGTGCTGTAAAATATAATTATAGGGGTAAAATTATATGAATCTTAGTAACATTTAATAACCATAATATTTGGGATTTTTGGATTTACAGATACTAAATTGAATATGTCGGTCGATGCGGCTTTGTGTGATGCTAAAGAATCCTCTTATAAGAAGAGTCTAGATAGTAAAGTAAAGAGAACTCGACATAAATCCATGAGTGAAATTGAGAAAACTGGTATGTATTTCTTCTCTTTCTGCTATGATAATGATTAGTGGCATGAATTTTTACATTTATTGATGATTACAATAATGATAAAAAAATGTCTTAAAAACAATATTGCCGGATTTTACGTCAAGAATTTTAGACTGCAAGTAGAGTTGGATTTTTAATTATCAACAGTTAATTTTTAGTCATTTATTACAGTGTTAATAACTAACTCGACTTGTTTAACATTCTTATCCCTCTTAATTTAATCAGATTTTTAACTATGCCTACATACCGTTAGTTTTGTTTTTCGACTTGGCTGATACGTCATCATTCCCGACGCCATATTTCAGCTGTTAATACTAAAATGATGTTTGTCTTTTTCTATATTCGTACACATTAGACAAGGAAGCACGATATTTTTTCGTTAATAATGGTGAATAAATAGTATATAAAAAGACAAAATAATTTTATGATCTAGAGAGATAGAAAATTGGGAAGGAGGGAGTTAATTGGCGCGACCTTATAGATCTGTTGTGTCCCCCTTTATAACTCATCATACAGTTTTAGGACTTTGACAAAAGCCAGTATCTGTGACTGTTTTACAGAGGTTAGTTCCCCATCTCTGTTATCAGTGGTACCAAAGTTTATGACACGTCTTCAAGGGATGTCTTCTCGTCGCACTCAAGATGATGTATTCTGGTATTTTCCCATTTTCCTCACAGAATCTGCATTCGCCGTTGTTTCTTAGCTTCGGCCTACTGAGGTGTTCATTGAGGAGATGACGTCCTGTTAAAAACCCCGTGACAATCAGAAGATTATTCTTAATTAAATCAGGGAAAATCTTTTATTTTTCTCGGTCCTGTCCCGTCAAGTCCTGAGGAGTTTCTTCGATTCTAATTGCAGATTACGGATGGAGTCTTCCAGGTTCTTGAGTTCTGCTTTAAGTTAGTTTCAACTTAGGAAGCAGAACAGTTCTGATCCAGTTAATAGAATGGTTGCTCCTTTTCTAGCTAGATGCTTTGCTTTTTCATTACCTTCTATCCCTTGGTGGGCTGGCATCCAGAGTAGGAGGACTTTATTTTCTTTGCCTAATTTGTTGGAAACCTTATAACTTTGGTGTGTCAACTAGTTGTAATGTAAGTTAACTACCATTATCTTGAACTTTAAGACATGATGTAATAAATAAAAAGTATGTTCGCAAAAAGTCACTTCGCTTATTTTTAACCAGGCCTACCGCATGTAGGAACCGGCAACTCTGCAATTTTTTATATCTATTATGGGTGTAATGTAGTAAATTACTTCAAAATATATTATTGTCTTAAGGCATGTATGCTTTGTTGTACTGACCCAGTCATCCTTCCCATTTTCTGGAAAATCCTGTATTTAGGTATGTTATCCCGGATCCCGGAAAATCATACTATCCCTGAAAGCGCCAATCAAATTATAAAATCAAATAACATTTTTTATACCTAGTTATTTACCTTCCTTTATGTTATTTTGGTAAATATAATACTGCCGCCTTCGTTTTTCAAGTGCTTCGGTTTTTATTGCTCCCTTTTTTTGCCCTCCCGGATTTTAGCTATAAAAATCTGACAACTCTAGTTTGTATGCAGTATTTATGAAGAGAAAATTATATTTTTTTTCTTAGATTTACGATTAAGCTCCAGGAATAATGAAGATGGACCTAGAGCAATTGAGGATCCAAATATCAATTTTAGGCTAACCAGACAAAGGTCTTTGGGTCAACTCAAACAAAATAATAAAGGTGTGTATCAGTCCAAGAAAATAGGCCAATACCAAGTTTTGGTTAAAACTTGAATTTTTGATATAACTAACCTATCTATATATACTTTGAAAGATCTAGAAACGAATTGTGAAAGATTTTTTTAAATTCACCCCCGAGAGGGGATAAAATAAATAAATAAAATTATTTTTTTCGAAATTTCGGAGAGACGGAACGAGAAACGGAAAGGACTAGAAATAAAAGTTAAAATAAAAGTTGTAGAGCGTCCGATTTTACATAAAAATGGTCTTGTATCTTTTTTTTTCTCAAATCAAAATTAACCGAGATAGGGTGACTAGAAACTAGGAGATTTGGTTTGGTTGATTCTGATTTTGTTTGAAACATTTCTTTCAATGTCCTTTTCTGGTGGTGAATTTTAAAAAATCTAAATGAAATTTATAATTTTCCAGGCAAATTGAATAAATATGTTAAATATATCAATTTTTCAGCCAGCTTATAGTGTCTTATATCATCTCCTAGCTTTTAGTCACCCTATTTCGTTTTTTTTTTTTTTTTTTTTTTTGATCAGAGGAAAAAGTACAGAGATCATTTCTATGTAAAATTTGACGCTCCATAACTTTTATTTGAATTTTTTTTTCTAGTTCTTACCGTTTATAATAATAATAATAATAAATGTCTTTATTTAGTACCCAAGAAAAACAAATTACAAAATATCATAATAAAAGATGCGGCGAGATCTAGCACAATGCTACTCCATCTATACCCCAGTGCAGTTATGACATTCACCATGTTGAAATTGCAAAAATTTTTAGAAAGCTGCGACCATCGAAAATAGTTAACCTTAGTAACCCTTATTAACATACTAAAAGTCCCCATTTGTCCGATGTGTGCGTCATCAAAAAAAATCGGCCGCCATCTTGAATTTTGGTTTTTTTTTGGGAAAAAATGTAAATAACTCGAAAACGGTTTGTTATAGCGAAAAACTTCAAGAGGTAAAAATTAAAGTAGAATAAAAAACTCTATTAGAATCAAGAAAAAATAATTTATTATCTTAACGCAATGACGTGCAAAAAAATTTTGAAAATCGAGCAATTTTTAAAAGGAATCACCGAAATGTAAATTACTAATTTTTTAAGCTTATTAACAAATAACATGGATATTTAGCATCAATTCAACTGAAATACAATCCTTGTGACATTTTCAAGAAATATTTTTTATTGGTGGGTTAATAATATTTCAAAATTAACAAAAATTGTAAAAACTATCCTTTACTAAATACATGTGTACTAATAATGTGCGAAAGCAGTCTCCATCTTGTCCCGGTCGGGACTATTTGCACTTAAGCCAAGGTCTTAGTGTTACCATTCTGTAAAAAACTTGTTTTTAAAAATACAGTGACAGTTTGAAAAATTAGGCTACAGGTTGGAAGAAAATAATAAAATGTAATGTAAACTGGCGACTTTCAAAACGTTGCAAAAAGATCCTCATCTGCGACAAATTACATCCATTTTTTTAGATCTTGCAGCACAAAAATCTGAGTTAGTCGAAGCTGCAAATACATTCTTATTTTCATTATATGGTCGACATAGGCTAGCAAAAGATTTAGATCAGTTGAGGTTTTTTAAATATAAAGCTCTTACATCTCGTCAGGTACTTATAGTAAAAATTTTGATTTAGCTACCTTACCTCCAACAACTGACGCAGCTGAAAATCATTATTATAGGACCTATTTATAAATGCAGTATTTGCTAAATAACGGAGAAGAGGCAACAGAATGTGGATGGAGCAAAAAAACGGATACCTTAGTTCCAACAACAATAGAAGAACAAATCGAATAAAATTGTAAATTTAATTTTTTATTCTAGAGATGACAGTTTGAAAAGTTAGGTCACAAGTTGGTAACACATTTTTATTAAAATGGTCATAATTTGAATTATTGTTATTCGATTTGTAGGGGTATGTTTATAATGTATTTATCATAATGAAAAAGTGTTAAGATCTTAGGTTAAGATCGTAGATGATATTTATGTCAAAAAGACATTCGCAAGTAATTTATTACATTTTATTTTTTTCTTCCAACCTGTAGCCTAATTTTTCAAACTGTCACTGTATTTTTTAAAACAAGTTGTTTACAAAATGGTAACAAAAAGACCTTAGTTTAAGTGCAAACAGCCCCGACCGGAACAAGGTGGAGGCTGCTTTCGCACATTATTAGTACATATGTATTTAGTAAAGGATAGCTTGGACAATTTTTGTTAATTTGTAAATATTATTAAACCACCAATAAATATTTCTTGAAAATGTCACAAGGACTGTATTTTAGTTGAATTGATGCTAAATATCCATGTTATTTGTTAATAAGCTTAAAAAAATAGTAATTTGCATTTCGGTGATTCCTTTTAAAAATTGCTCCATTTTCAAAAAAATTTTGTACGTCACTGCGTTAGGATAATAAACTATTCTTTATTGATTCTCATATAGTTTTTTATTCTCTTTAATTTTTACCTCTTGAAGTTTTTCGTTTTAACGCACCGTTTTCGAGTTATTTACATTTTTTCCCAAAAAGTACCAAAATTCAAGATGGCGGCCGATTTTTTTTGATGACGCACACATCGGACAAATGGGGACTTTTAGTATGTTGTTAATAAGGGTTACTAAGGCTAACTATTTTCAATGGTCGCAGCTTTCTAAAAAATTTTGCAAATTCAAAATTATTTGCACTGGCCTATCTAACTGCACTATTAAATATAAGCTTAACAACTAAATTCTAAGTCTAAGTTTTTTCGTGAGCAGTAATTAATGACACTAAAAGATTATAGAAAACAATAATATGATAGCAAAGGCGAGCATTAAATGAACCAACTAAAAACAGAAATAATTATAAGTTATTTTAAAATCATATTCTCGACGAAACTAAATACTTCTCTCATTCATATAATGACGCTTGACAGCTTTCCTGAATGAGCCAACAGAGGGCCTGCATAATACACTATTTGGTAAACCATTAAATGCTTTTACAGCAGAATAACTAAATGAGCCTCGAAACTTGGAAGTTCTATGTTTAGGTACAACAAAATTTCGGGAGTTGTCCGACGAAATTTACGTGTTGCCCGACCGTGGATACTATTATTAGTAATTAATTTGTCTGAAACTTCGAAAAAATAATTTTATTTATTTATTTTACCCCCTCTCGGGGTTAAATTAATTTTTTTTTTCACAATTCGTTTTTAGATCTTTCAAAGTAAGTCATATCAAAAATTCAAGATTTTACCAAAACTTCGTA